TACATGAAACAATCAGTATGATTAACAGCCTATTTCTCTTCAGCAGTCATAGAAGCCAGAAAGCAATGGGGTCACAAATTCAAAGGGCTGAAAGAAAAAAAAAATCTTGTACAGCAAGAATTCTGTATCTGTCAAACAACCCTTCTAAAATTAAGTGGAAATTAAGACATTGCAAGGAAAACAAAAAACTGGTTTGTTACTAGTAGACTACAAGAAGTGCTAGAGTCCTTCAGTCTGCAACAAAAGGACACGAGACAGTAACTCAAGGGCATATGATGAAATAATGAACATGCAAAGGTAGCTACAGAGGCAAAGGTAAAAGCCAGCATTATCATATTTTTTGTTTGTATCTCCTCTTTTCATCTTATACAATATTTAAAAGACAAACACATAATGATAATTATAAATCTATGTTACTGAACATACAGTGTATAAAGGTGTAATTTGTGACATTAATAACATAAAGGGGAGTACAAAGTTATAAATGAAGTAGCATTTTTTATACACTTAAAGTCAAGTTGGTATCAATTAAAATTAGATTTTTTATAATTTTAGGATGTTATATGTAAGTAACATCCATGGTAACATGTTACCCATGGTAACCACTGAGAAAATATCTATAGAACATAAACAAAAGGAAATGAGAAGGGAACCAAAACGTATCACCACAAAAAAATCAACTAAACACGAAGGGAAATCAGGGACAACAAAACTGTAAGACATGTGGAAAACAAATAGCAAAATGTCATAAGGCCTTCCTTATTAGATATGATTTTAAATGGAAATAGATTAAATTCTTCAATCAAAAAGGCAGAAAGATTGGAAGAATAAATAACTATTGGGCCAAAGGAGAAATCATAAGGAAAGTTAGAAAATAACTTGAGAGAAATGAAAGTGAAAACAAAATGTAACAAAACTTCTAGGCTATAACAGAAGCAGTGCTAACAGGGAAAGTTGTAGCTATAAACACTTACATTTAAAAATTAAAAAATGGGGCACCTGGGTGGCTCAGTGTGTTAAACATCTGACCTTGCTCAGGTCATGATCTCAGGGTTCGTGAGTTCAAGCCCCACATCAGGCTCTGTGCTGACTGCTCAGAGCCTGGAGTCTGCTTCGGATTCTGTGTCTCCCTCTCTCTCTCTCTCTGCCCCTCCCCCGCTCATGCTCGCTCTCTCTCTCTCTCTCTCTCGAAAGTAAATAAACATTAAAATATTAAAAAAAATAAGAGGCATCTTAAATCAACAACCTTAATTTTCAACTGTAAGGAACAAGAAAAAGAACAAACTAAACCTAAAGCCAACAGAAGGAAGGAAATAAGAGAGATTAGAGCAGAGATCAATAAAATAGAGAATAAAAAAACAATAGAGAAAATCAATAAAACCAAGAGTAGATTCTTTGAAAGTATCAACAAAATTGAGAAACCTTTAGCTAGACTAAGACAAAAAGAGAGACTTAAATTAATAACACCAGAAAAGAGATCAGGGACATTACTGTTGATTTTACAGAAATAAAAAGGATTATAAGAAAATACGATTAACAATTGTACATCAGCAAAGTGGACAACCTAGATGAAATGGAAAAATTCCTAGAAACACACAGCTACTGAAAATGAATTATAAAGAAATAGAAAATTTCAAAAGATCTATTGCCAATAAGGAGATTAAGTCAGTATCAAAAACTTCCCAACAAAGAAAAACTGAATGAGATGGTCTTACTATATAAAGCTACCAAACATTAAACATATTAACACCTACATTTCTCAAACTACTCCAAACTATATGAGGAGAAAATGTTTTCCGAATTCACAGTATGAGTAAAGTGAACGAAGCCAGATACAAAAGGACAAATACTGTATGATTCTGCTCACGTGATGTACCTACAATAGGCAAATTCATAGAAACAGAAAGTGGAATAGACGTTACCAGGAGTTGGGGGTAGGGGACAGAAAAAGGAGAATAACTGTACATCTAGTTGTACAGGGGAAGTCTATGTAAACAGAGTCACAGAGTGAAGGGACCTGGGTATAAATTATGTATTCGCTCTGCCATTTAGTACATGCATGACATGGGTCAAGTTAATTAACCTTTTCAACTCTCAGTTTACTTATCTAGAAAAAAAAAAAGACAAAACAAAACCCAGGATCATAGTCACACCAAATTCACAGTGCAATTGTGAGGGTTAAATGAAATAATACATACAAAGCACTTAGTGAAGAGCTTAGCATATAAATAAGTGATCAATGAACGATAGCTATTATTAACCTTAGAATGGTTTCTGGCACATAATACATTTCTGTTGAAGGAATATATGCAACTGCATATTTGCTATAATAATGAAATTGACTGAAGCCACAGTTAGGAGAGGGGATGGGGTCCAGAAGAACTTTCTGGAAAGACAGCAACATGGCAGAACAGAGCCCAGAAACATATTCTGTGTGTATTTAACAATATGATAGTATGTATATGACAGGTTATTATCTGCACATCAGTGATACTTGGATCCGCTCTTTCCCGGGAAGAGAAACGACAAATTTAATGTCCTTTTCCTTCTTGTACATTTCATCTCCTTCTTCCTTAAGAAGGTGCTGGAAATCTGACAATAAAGGAAAAATTAAATATATGTATGCCTGTATCTTACGGGTAAATTTTTGCCTTCTCCCATTAAACTTTTACCAAATTTTCAACATCTAATAAATATTTAAAATCAAGCCTGGCACATGAGATTCTCAAGTAACATTTGTTAGATGATAGAATTTATACATGAACAGTTACTATATTCCCTTACTCTACCTACAGGGATGCTCCCTGTGACACTTCTGTCAGAGTACTATTTTTGTGTATCTACTATTTATATCTCTATTTTTTTTTTAAAGTAATCTCTACACTCAAATGTGGGGCTTGAACTCACAACTGCCAAGATCAAGAGTTGCATGCTCTACCGACTGAAGGAGTCAGGCGCCCTTCTGATACTTTTCTTTTTCTTTTTTTTACAAATAGTTTGTCAAATTAGTTTCCACATAACACTCAGTGCTCATCCCCACAAGTGTCCTCCTCCATGCCCTTCCCCCCCTCCCCCCCACACCCATCAGTCCTCAGTTTTTGTCAGCATTCAAGAGTCTCTCATGGTTTGCCTCTCTCCCTTTCCCCCACCATTTCCGCCCTTCTTCTCCCCCTTGTTCCTCCGTCAAGTTCCTCCTAATCCTCCTATACGTGCAAACATATGATATTTGTCCTTCTCTGCCTGACTTATTTCGCTCAGCATAACACCCTCAAGGTCCATCCATGTTGCTACATATGGCCAGATTTCATTGTTTCTCATTGCCATGTAGTATTCCATGGTATAGATAAACCACATCTTCTTGATCCATTCATCTGCTGATGGACACTTAGGCTCTTTCCATGTTTTGGCTATTGTGGAGAGTGCTGCTATGAACATTGGGGTACATGTGCTCCTATGCCTCAGCATTTCTGTATCCCTTGGGTAAATTCCTAGCAGTGCTATTGCTGGGTCATAGGGGAGTTCTATTGTTAGTTTCCTGAGGAACCTCCACACTGTTTTCCAGAGGAGCTGCACCAGTTTACATTCCCACCAACAGTGTAGGAGGGTGCCCGTTTCTCCACATCCTTGCCAGCATCTAGAGTTCTCTGATTTGCTCATTGTAGCCACTCTGACTGGCGTGAGGTGGTCTCTCAGTGTGGTTTTGATTTGTATTTCCCTGATGAGGAGGGATGCTGAGCATCGTTTCATGTGTCTGTTGGCCATCTGGATGTCTTCTTTGGAGAAGTGTCTGTTCATGTCTTCTGCCCATTTCTTCACTGGGTTGTTTGTTTTTCGGGCGTGTAGTTTGGTGAGTTCCTTATAGATTCTGGATATTAACCCTTTATCTGATATGTCATTTGCAACTATCTTTTCCCATTCCGTTGGTTGCCTATTAATTTTCTGGGTTGTTTCCTTGGCTGTGCAGAAGCTTTTAATCTTGATGAGGTCCCAATTTTTTATTTTTGCTCTTGATTCCCTTGCTTTTGGGGATGTGTCAAGTAAGAAGTTGCTGCGGTGGAGGTCAAGGAGGTTGTTTCCTGCTTTCTCCTCCAGGTTTTTTTTTTTTCATTTTTTTACAAATAGTTTATTTGATACTCTTTTTAAGAAAATTTTTAGGAATGCCTTGGCTGGCTCAGTCTGTAGGGCATGTGACACTCGATCTCCAGGTTGTGAGTTCCAGCCCCACGTTAGGTGTAGAGATTACTTTAAATATTAAAATAAATAAATAAATAAATAAATAAATAATAAAGAATGCTTTGAAAAAGCTTTCAGTGTTACAAGATAAAAATAATTAGGGAATAGGGAGAGAATATGGTTATCTAAGATAACAGAAAGAAAATCATATGCCAATAAAGTTCACAGTTGGTAGATTTGGGTTGCAAAATAGGATCTGAGCTTCCTAGCAGTCATCACAAGGAAAGTTAATTAAATAATTCACATGGTCTGTATGATTCAAAACATAATTACTCAGATTTTTCAGTTACTGAAATGGCAGTTTTCCTTGAGTTATTAAATAAGTATTTTTTGATATTAATTCCTTTAAGAATATACTACACTTCATGAAAAAAATGAGTTTCATTGGTCTATGTCGTATTACAACCCTTGATATAAAAATCAGCGGATGGATTCCAAAAGGGATCAAAACAGTTTTGTCTAGGTCTGAAACTCCAGCTTCACGGAGTGAAAAAAAAAAAAAAAACAAAAAACCTCGTATTCAGAATAAATGACTATACAATAATTAGTCTTCCAAACATATTTATCCCTTACAATTAAGTTTAGATGCGTATTAGGCAGTAGATATTTCATGGCTACCATCTCTAACCGGGACCCCTAATGTCTCTAATATTATTATCCCTATGTCTTTAAGGAGGATACGTTTGACATCATTTTATGAAAGTTCTGGAACCTCGAAGGTCACATGACTGAACGGGAAGCCATTTTATAATCTCCATGAGTGGACCATGGAGTACAGTAAGGAAGAGTCTCCCTCTTCTTTGGAAAGTGATTCAACACCAACAGCTTCAACGTCAGAAGTAACGGGCTTACAAGAACCCAAAATTCCTGAAGACAACATTGCTGAATACTTTGGAGACCTCAAGGCTGAAACCGCTAGCGGCAAAGGCACTCAAACTCCTGCCGACCATGGCACCCAAGCCGATGTCGATGGCGGCACCCACGTTGCTGCCAAAACTCCTGACGAAAACTTACTGGAAGGGGAAGGTAAGTGGTGTTAATTTTTTCCCCCTCACAAGTTAAGGGTATTGTTTGGGGGGACGTGAATTGCTAGAAGTTTATTTGAACTGAGACGCCCTTCAGGAGAAATAATGGGTGTCACTTGTGTCCCTGTCTGAAAGATGTACTCTAGTGACTCTCTTGAGGAGAAGGGAAAGGCTTATTATGTGAGAGTGGTTTGGGCGCGGATTGTGGTTATTTAATGGTTTTGCGTGGCGGCCTATTTGTCGCCAGGCGAGGTCTTCTCGCCAAGGGATAAATCGGTCGAACGTAACGGATTCGATGAGCAACCAAATGTGCCACCTCTTTTACAAATATCACTGTGCACCGGTTACACTCCGCGGCCGCCCCGAAGCTTGGCCCCCTGTAAAAGGAATTGGTTTTGAAACTTTATTCCACGAGGTTCCCCCACCCCCATCCCCGCGCTGCGCTCAGCGCCTTTCAAGCCTTGAAGCCCTGGCACGCGGCGAACTGGCCGCCGCCTCGAGGCCACCCGCCAGTCGGGTCTGGGCCTGGTCGCGGAGGCGTGGCTAGGCGGGGAGGGGCGGCGCGCGCGGCTCCTACCTGTCGCCACGCCGTCGGCCCGCAGCCCGCCTCCACGCCCGCAGCCTGTGAGCCCACCCACGCCCGCCACCCGGCAGCCCACTCACGCCCGCTCCGGAACCCGCCCACTCCCGCCCCGGACCCTGGGGAAGAGAGGCGGGTTCCTCCAACGCAGCCTTTCCGGTCCTGGCGCGAGTCAGCGGAGGAGCGGGTGAGTCTGGCGGTCAGAGGGCTCCTGGGCGGGTCAGCGCTCAGCTCCCGCGCACCGCATTTCCCTCCCCAGCCCGCCTGGACGGCGAGGCGCGAAGGCTCGCGCCCCTTGGTCCTCCCAGAGGTTTTCCAGGGAAATTGGACCAAAGCCTAGGAGCTGGACTCTTCCTTGGAAGCTTAGCACCCCTGGGATAAGGATGGAGTGGTCATTGCCTCAAATTGCAGCCAGCGGCTATGAACTTGAAAATACCAATTTAGGCTTGTGCTGACTTGTGCTGCCTGGAGCATGCTGTTAGGCACCCTCCAGCTAGCTATAATTCTAATTCCAATCCTGTTTCCGCTGAAACGAGATGGAGCTGGGGGTGGAGAGCGGTCTATTTAGTTTAATTACTTATTAAAGAGTGCTTGTCTGAAAAAAAAATGGATGCCGTTTCTTAAAATAAATACGATACAACCGGTTTATTGGGTAGATGAAGGCAACACATTTTAAAAATAAATAAAACTCATTTCAACTGGGATTGTCCACCTTCTCTGAAATAGTTTCAATCCTCACATTCTTTCTTTTATATTAGGAGTTGCCAGAAAGGCATTGAAATGAACAAAATACCTTAGTCTTAGTTCTGCTGAAATATCTAAAAGTTATTTCTGATCTGATGAAATTTTTCTTAGCAGCTAGTTCTTCAAATAATCTGTATTTCTGCTCCCAACTTGTGTTTGCAACTGTCCATTCTGTTAGGTAATGTGCCCAGCCCCAAGGGTTTTATTTAGTTTACTTTATTTTAATTAAATTTTTGATTTATGTTAACATTTAGTTTTTGTATCTCTGTGTGTATGTGTGTGTCTGTGTATGAAGTAGGAAGAAAACAAATGACTATCACAAATAATCAATCTCTCTCCTCATCCTGGGTGTCTCCTTTTCCGCTGCTGACCTCTCTTTTGCTTTCTATGCCTTTCTGGTAGTTTCTGAAGTCATACTAAAGGACTGGTGAATGATTTCACCATAATAAGGTCTGAGATTCACTTTTATATGTTTTAAAAAGGGTTCCGATTCTTTTAAGCGAGATTCAAATGGTTTACAGAGTATTAGGGAGCTGTGATTAACAGGGGATTTTAATCTAAGATAAAAGATTTTATAACTTTGTATATAGCATAATGTCCTTAGAAATAGGGAGAAGACCCTGTCTATTTTCATATACGTGTATTACTGTCTTTCCAGCTTTCAAGAAAAAAATTTCCTCAGAAGTGTGAGCCCTAAAACCCAACATACAAGCCACTACCGATATAGGCCAAATAGCTGGAAAATAAGATTAAATATAAAAAGATTTTTAAAAAAGGTTAAAAATAAAGATCAACTTGGATAAGATTATCCACTTTACAGAAGGTTTTTTTTTTTTTTTAAATAAAGGGATCCATCTTAGGATTTCTTTAAATAACTTTTTAGGGGTATTTCAAGTAAGTGGTGGGTGTGTGGATTAAATGAAATAGTAGGCCTAATTCACTCAATCAAGTGCTGGTATAGAGAATGTATACAGTGAACGTTAATAATGAATAAATTAAATTAGATTTTATGATCTATCATATCACCCCTTCAAGAAAGTGTCCATTCCATGAACTTAAGTGTACTCATATAGATAGCCTTGCCATAAGAACTGGACTCCTAACTTTTACACAAAGTAGTTCAGAGGTGTTGATGCTGCCTTTAGAGTCATAGAACCTGCCTGCTCTCCCATGGGTTTAATTCATACCAATCCATTAAGGTGAATAAAATATTAAAAATTAAGCTCTTTTTTCCTTCAAATCACCATAGAACACCCGTGCCTGTGGTTTTGGTTCATTCTGGACTTTGATTGGCACTCTTCCCTTCAGAGGCATGAATTTTGCTTCGGTAGCCACCACAGAGTTGATGAATTGTAGTCCTTTAGAGTCTAAGAATATCGTTAACAAGACTAAATCATGTTCCATAACCACTGTTACTTCATTTGTTGTCACGTAATTTGGGCTATCCTTGGAAAGTCTGCATATTTATATTGGAGGGGAGAACAGGTGACTTTTAGAAATAATCAGGTTATGTCAAATAAAGTACTTCAGAGCTGTACACACATCATTCCAGTGAGGGTTGTGAGCAAGATCTTGTATAATGTAACCACTACTACCAGAAGTGGTCAGCAGAGGGGGCAAGATGAGTTTTTGGTCATTTGCTGTCTATTTTGTTTTTGCTTTCATGAACTCAAAAACAAGAGATGAGTAAAAGCCAGGATGAACCTCCTCAGGAACTTGAGAACCAGTTTATATTGCGTCTTCCTATGGTAAGAAACCCTTGTATCTCAGACCACATATCTTCAGTACATATGTATTAGCTCTGCTTGGATTCTATAGCATTGCTATTTAAGGTAGGCTTTAAAAACTAAGATTATTTGTTTCCCAGGATTCACATTTTATTAAACAGCTCTATTTTAATATGTACTCTTTTAGCAGAATTCTTTCATCCTGTACATGCCTCCTATCACGTGGGTTGATTTCCTAGCAAAGGGCTGTGACAGTGAGGGATTCAGTTACTTACCAGAGGTGCTAACAGCCTGTTCACTTAACAGCCGTGATAAGACTCTTTAAAAATCCTTTCTGTCACCTCAAAAGGGGCATTGAAGGAGACCATCACTATTTCCTCAAATTCATCACCATGCAAGGCTGTTGAAGGTCATCTGAACATTGTGTTAGGGTCTCTTGCCCCATTGATACCTGTATTCAAGTAGTATCTAGTCTAAGAATGCTATATTAAGGATGGACTTCAGAAAGGTATTTCCCCAATTATGGCTAATTAATATACCCAGTAAACTGCAGCTAAGCCTTTACTTAGCAACTACAACTGAAGGGCAGCAGTAAGAGGCAGGAATGTAGGGCTAGAAGAAGACATTAACTGTAGCTATTAAACACCAACAATGAGATCAGCCTCATCCTAACTTGACTTAGCACACCATATGTCATGGTACATGGCATTGTTCCTAACGTTTGGGAGGTTTAAGGTTTTATTTAAGGAAGGACTGTCTGTGAGACATCTGTTAGTTGCCAAGTAAACAATTCATCCTTCTGATTTTTCAATCAACCTCCTTTTTAGGAGCATGCATTTACTGTCAGGAGGATGGTGCATTCTGGAAATGTTGCCATGAAGGATAAATTAAAAATTGACTTATCTTGTAAGTAAATATCTATTTACCATACACTGAACAGTTAATTTATTAAGGGATTGCTATGTGCCAGACATTATGCTAAATACTAAGGATGGGACAAAGAGCAGAATATGGTCTCTGTCTTGACAGACTCTTAAGAGAAGCTTAAGTCACTCTCCTATCTTCTTTTCTAGAAAAGGAAGTAGAAATTATGTAATTTGAGGTAATTATTATAGTGTGTACAAGGAATAATTGGCAGGTGGGGGGTCAGCGGTGGGATTTGTATACCTTTGTTTGTCTCTTACATACGAGCTTTGTGATTTCTGACTGTCCAGGAGAATGATAAATGAATGTCCTGTACTGTGTTTATAAAAGTGGCATATCTTTATATCTTTTGAATAATATTTATTAGGCTTTTTAAATACAGAGAAGTGTATAAGGAAGAAAATTTAAAATGGCCTATAATCTTATAACTCAGGTAGCCCTTATTGACATTTTCAAAAAGGTAATACAAGTTCATGGTTAGAAAATTTAAATAAAACAGAAAAGTTCAAAAAGAGGAGTAAAACTCTCCTTTGCAGTGCTCCAACATTAGTACCAAAGATAACTAATAATAATTGTTTCCCCTTGTGTTTCCTTACACACAAAAATTTTATGTACAATACCAACATTTAAATCCTCTATATCTTTCAAGTTAATTGAAAGAATTAAAGCATCATGTCCAGCATCATTCTGCATTTTACTTTTTTCACTTAATATTAGAAGATTGCACTTGAATCCTCTTGTGTTAAGGGATGAGGAAAAGCTAGAGACATCTGGGCAGGATTCAGAGTTGTCAATATATGAATATATATATTCCTACAGTGTATGGATATTGTGTAGAATCTTATCTTGGTGAAGTTAACTAGAGATTATAACTTCAGATATACTAGCACCTTTCTGGGATTGCCCATTTCTTCACTTGACCCTTTGAAAATACCCATGTACAATGACATAACTGAGTGTTTCTAATGGGGTCAAAATGAATGGGGTTGAAAGAATGGAGTTTGCCTTTCAGGATGAGAATGAATCATTTGCCACGTCATGCACATTTAGTTCACAATTATTACAAAGAGACTTAGCTACTTTTGATCCAGTAGCATAAACTGAGAGAAAAGAGCTCCATATACCCTGCTTTCTTTTCTCTGGGAAGTTACTAATTACATACATAATTCTAGAGTTAAGAGAAATAGTAGGTTTTGCTGAAAGGCTGGCCAGTCTCAGGTAAGTCTTCATTACTTAAGCCCTAAGAAGCTTAAGAATACTTTTGGAAGATGTTGGCTTTAATTTTTCCTGCCTCTCTTCAGCTGATGGACGTCACGCAGTTGTTGATGTAGAAGATGTCTCACTGACTGCTAAGTTGGTTGATTTGCCGTGTGTTATCGGAAGCCTGAAAACTCTTGATAAAAAAACTTTTTATAAGACAGCAGATATTTCCCAGGTATGGATGAGTTTTCTTAATCTACTAGTTCTTACATCCTTCAAGGAATCCCTTCCTCCCTACTTTTCTCTTTCTTCCAGTGCTCCTTTCCACTTGGTGAATGGCTGCTTATCATTTCTAATTCCCAGCTCAACTGCACAGGAATACAGTGTCATGTTCTGGTTTGGTATTTGATCCATAATTTTCGACTACTTAATTTTATCTGATAGCTTTTAGATAAAAAAGGTTTAGGTTTGCCATTTATGATGATTTTCATGTGAAAAAAAATGAGGATCTGGAATCTTCTGAACTTTCTGCTAAAGCAAGATGCTGTTAATTCTGGAAATTTATATTTGTTTTTCTTCATCATCTCAACTGTTGATTTCTTCTTTGTCTTCTAAATATAAATGCTAAGGTATATTTGTTCTTAACATATTCCCTCTGCAGTGGTAAGTACTTGGAGCTAAAAACAAACAAATAAAAACAAAACCTAGAATCCACATACAGTGCTGCAGAGACCAACAGAGAGAGAGAATGAATATGCATGTATATATAATACTTGGCATTTCCAGAATGCCAAGTAATATTCTCCTTACTGCTTACTATGCTCCAGGATTTTTGGTAGTAAAAATGATGATGATTCATTTCTTTTTTTAAATTTTATTTTAATTTATATTTAAAAACTTTTTTTTAATGTTTATTTATTTTTGAGACAGAGAGAGACAGAGCATGAGCAGGGGAAGGGCAGAGAGAAAGGGAGACACAGAATCTGAAGCAGGCTCCAGGCTCTGAGCTGTCAGTACAGAGCCTGATGTGGGGCTCTATCTCACGGACTATGAGGTCATGACCTGAGCTGAAGTCAGATGCTCAACTGACTGAGCCACCCAGGGGCCCCTTTAATTTATATATTTTTTAATTTACATCCAAGTTAGTTAGCATGTAGTGCAATAATGATTTCAGGAGTAGATTCCTTAATGCCCATTACCCATTTAGCCCCCCTCCCACAACCGCTCCAGTAACCCTCTGTTTGTTCTCCATATTTTAAAAGTCTCTTATGTTTTGTCCCCTTCCCTGTTTTTATATTATTTTTGCTTCCTTTTCCTTATGTTCATCTGTTTTGTATCTTAAAGTCCTCATATGAGTGAAGTCATATGATATTTGTCTTTCTCTGACTAATTTCTCTTAGCATGATACTCTCTTGTTCCATCCATGTAGTTGCAAATGGCAAGATTTCATTCTTTGTGATGGCTAGTAATACTTCATTGTGTGTATACATACCACATCTTCTTTATCCATTCATCCGTTGACGGACATTTGGGCTCTTTGCATACTTTGGTATTGTCGATAGCGCTGCTATAAACATTGAGGTGCCTGTGCCCCTTTGAGACAGCACACCTGTAAATCATGATTTATTTCTAATCCAAGATTCATGACTATAGTCAACTTCATCTTTGTTAAATGCAGATGCTTGTGTGCACTGCTGATGCTGATCTCCACTCTTCTCCGGAAGAACCAGTTACCTCTACTGACCTTAATGTAATCATGAAAAATGAAAAAGAGAGCGAGCAAAAATATGTCTGGAAGCATGGCAGTAAGTCACCAGCCCCCTTGCTCATTCTGGCTGATTACATTTAATCTATTGGGTCCTAATTACTTGTGAGCCAGGGATCTGTTACCACACTGAGGTGTTTGGCTCATTAGGCATCCAGACACTCTTAAAAGAACGGATCATGTCATGAGCCAGTGGCTTATAGCATGACCTTTCTCTTTATCAAATTCAGATAGATATGTGACTACCAACAGTCATATATACATTTCACCATGTTGAATTTATTTTAGTTACTCCACCACTTAAGAATGTCAGAAAGAAAAGGTTCCGCAAAACAACAAAAAAGGTTAGTTGCATGCTATTTCTGTGTCTACTGGGTGGATTGGAAGAGGAGTTAGTTGGGGATTAATTTGTTCACTCATTTATATGTTCAATAAACATCAATTATGAGTTAAATGCCAGGCACTGTGTGGTAGCAATTGGGAGTATATAGTGAACAGAAACAGACCTGATCATGTAGGGATCTGGATGTGCCATGAATTTGAAACTTCGTCTAATGCTTTGCTTTCAATTGCAAAGTCTAGTTTTAAAGTTTATTTATATATTTTGAGAGAGACAGTGGCAGTACAAGTGGGGTAAGGGCAGAGAGAAAGGGAGAGAGAGAGAATCCCAACCAGGATCCACATTGCCAGCACAGAGCCCATTGTGGGGCTTGAACCCACAAAACCATGAGATCATGACCTGAGCTGAAACCAAGAGTTACAGGCTTCCACCCAGGTGCCCCACAAAATCTAGTTTTAAAGTGAACCCATCTAGAACCTGACATTTGGAAATTGTGGTTCTATTCCTGACCTTACCTCTGACTTGTAGAATCTTGGGCAAGCTACAGGAATATTGTGGCTTGACTTTTTAAAATTAAGTTAAAAAATGTTTTTATATTTATTTTGATAAAGAGAGAGAAAGAGAGCACACATGTGTATGTTTTGGAGAGGTGGGGCAGAGAGAGAGAGAGAATCCCAAGCAGGTTTCATGCTGTCAACACAGAGTCCTACTCAGGGCCCAGTTTCACGAACCCCATGATATCATGACCTGAGCCAATACCAAGAGTCAGATGCTTAACTGACTGAGCCACCCAGGTGCCCCTTTAATTAACTTTTCATTTTGAAATGTAGGTTCACATGCAGTTGTAAGAAATAAAAAAAGAGATGCTATGTACCCTTTATCCAGTTTTTCCCATTGTAATTTTTGGTGAAACTATAGTACAATATCACAAATAGGAAATTGACATTATTGCAATTTGCCAATCTTATTCAAATTTCTCCAGTTTTACTTTTACTCGTATGTGTGTATGTGTGTGTGTAGTTCTATGCAGTTTTTTTCCCATATGTACGTTCGTGTATCAACCTACACAGTCAAAATACTGTGCAGTTTTGTTACCAGAAGGATACCTCATCTTGCCCTTTTATAGCCACATTTACTTCCCTCCTACCTGACTCCCTCAGTCTCTAACCCCTGGCCATTTACTAGTATGTTCTTCATCTCTGTAATGTTGTCACTTTGAGAATGTCATATAAATGGACTCATACAATGTGTAACATTTAATGCTGGCTTTTTTCCTCACTAAGCATAATTCCCTTAAAATGTATGCAAGTTGTTGCATGTATAAGTACTTTGTTCCTGTTATTGCTGAGTAGTATTCTGGGGTATGGATGTACCCCAGCTTGTTTAACTGTTCACCCATTGAAGGACGTCTGGGTTGTTTTCAGTTTTTTACTATTATAAATAAAGCTACATGCAGGTTTTTGTGTCCGCATAAGTATTCATTTCTTTGGGATGAATGCACAGGGGTGCTATTGCTGGGTTATATGGTACTTGGGTGTTTAGTTTTATGAGAAACTACCATACTGTTTCCAAAGTGGCTGTAACATGGTACCTTCCCACCAGACTGTATCTGTGATCCACTTACTCTGTGTCCTCATCAGAATTAGGTGTTTGCAACTCTTTTTAATTTTAGCCATCTGATAGATGTGTAGTAACCTTGTTGTGGTATTAATTTGCATTTTCCTGATGGCTAATGACGTTGAACATCTTCCCATGTGGTTTTTTTTTTTGCCACCCATATATCCACTTCAGTGAAGTGTTTGTTCATGCCTTTTGCCCATTTTCTAAATAGATTTCTTTATTGTTGGGTTTTAAGAGTTCTTTTAATATTCCAAATACTAGTCTTTTGTTAGATATGTTGAAATTTGCAAATATTTTCTCCTAGTATGTAGCTTGTCTTCCTCTTCTCCACAGGGTCTTTCAAAGAGCAACGTTTTTGTTTTTTTTTTTTATTAAGTCCAACTTATAGATTTTTCCCTTTTTAACGTTTATTTATTTTAAGAGAGAGACAGAGAGTGAGTGGGGGAGGGGCAGAGAGCGAGGGAGACAGAATCCCAAGCAGGCTCTGCACCATCAGCGCAGAGCCCAATGTGGGACTCGAACCCACGAACCATAAGATCATGACCTCAGCTGAAATCAAGAGCTGGGCACTTAACTGACTGACCCACCCAGGTGCCCTTACCATATCTTCTTTATCCATTCATCCATTGACAGACACTTGGGCTCCTTCCATATTTGGCCACCTAGGTGGCCCTATACATTTTTCCTTTTAAGGATCTTTCTGTTGTGTCAAGTTTAAGAACTCTTTGCCTCCTGAAGATTTCCTCCTCTATTTTTTTTTCTAAAAGTTTTACATTTTACATATAGGCCTGAAATCCATTGTTGAGCTAGTTTTTGTAAAAAAAAAATGTGGTGTTTAGTTCAAGGTTCATTTTTTTTTTTTTTTGTCTTTGCATATCTAGTTGCCCTGGCACCATTTGTTAAAAAGACTCTCCTTCCTCCATTGTTTTTTGCACTTTGTCAAAATCATTTGGGCATTTTTGTGTGTGTCTGTTTCAGGGCTCCCTATTCTGTTCCATTAATCTATGTGTTGATCCTTCTACAGATATCACAGTGTGACTATATAATAAGTCTTGAAATGAGGAAGATTCTTCTCATTTTGAAATGAGGAAGACTCTTCTCATTATTTTTGTTGAGATAGTTTTAGTCATTCTAGAGCCTGTACCTTTCCACATAAATTTTTGAGTAAGTTTAAAGTTTAGAAAAAGTTTTCAATGTCTATAAAAATCTTGTTGGAATTTTGGTAGGAATTGCATTGAACCTATATATCAAGTTGGGGATAACTGACAGCTTTACTGTGTTGAATCTCTCACTCCATGGACACAGTTGCCTTGGCTTTTATACTGTCAGTCAGCAGTATTTATGAGTGCCTACTAAATGTAAAACTAAGTTAGGAATAATTTTAGAATCCTTTAAGCTTTAGTGAAGTAGAACAGTTATAATAATAACTTCATTGTTTATTGTGTTTTATTTCATAGCTCATTGATTTCAAACAAATTGAAGAAATCAGCTTTCCTGAGGTAGAGCGATCATTTATAATTTTATTGTTTACCCTTAGTATGTTTTATTTCATAGCTCATTACTTTCAGGCAAATCAAAGAAATCATAAAGGTTACATTTAAGCCTTCCTTCTCATCTCTAACTGCTACTACCATACACATACACAAAATTGGTTCACTTAAAAATGGATTCGTTGCTTAATGCCTGATAACTCCTAGAGGAAGATACCATTTGGCCAGTGACTCTGTATTCTAATCTGCTTTTTTCTCTGATACTTATTTTAAGAGCCATTTCTTAGAAGCCAGGATTCACTTTTACCAGGAATTGTTTGCAATTGCTTATTCCCCATCAAAGTTCTGATTTCTATTTGTGGCATGACAAATTGGTTGCTGTGGAGATAATTGTCTAAAATTGGATTTAAGGGAGAACATGTAGCTAAGACCCAGTTTTTATAGGAAAATCTTTAATAATAAAGATGTGGAAAAGTGAACTCTGGGAATTTAGATCTTTAAGCCAAATCACTTCTAAATAACAAGGAATTGGAGTTCTTTGCCAGTATGGGTCAGGGCAAATAATTAATAACTGAGACCTAAGGGTTGTGCTTCTGAGAGAAGTTTTTAAGACAGAGTTGCAGATTGAAAAGATTAAATGTATCAAGTTAATTTGTTTGAATGGGAAAAAATAAGCTTACATACAAAAACCTAGACCCTGGTCAAAGATTTCTTCATAAATAGCATTAATTAAAGTAGAAATTTTATTTGGATGGATGTTAAAGACACCTAATTATTTGAATTCATTGGTATGTAGGAGAAGGGCATTCCTGTAAAACACAGGGTGTTAAATGACATTACTGGTATCCCCCTTTCTCCCACTTTGGTTCAGTACATTGAATCTCCTGATGTGGAAAAAGAAGTGAAAAGACTACTGTGTTCAGATGCTGAAGCTGTCAGTGCTCGTATCCTTTTATACTAAATATTTTTCTTGAAGGCTGTTCGGCCCCGTATGTACTTGCTGACAAGCCCTCACTTTTGCTAATTTTGGTGTGTAGAACTTCAGAGTTTTGGAAATGTTACTTCCTAGCTAGGAACAGTAATTTCACACCATAGAAATTTATTTACTTGTGTAAGTCAATAGAAGGTACTTCTTCATACTAGGTATGAATACTATACAATCCAGATACAGATGGCCTGAAGTTGGACCAAATTAAATAGCACTTTCATCCAGAGAGCCTCTTCCCTTTCAACTGTGCCTTCTCCTTTCTTTCTGCTTGTTCCTTGACCACCCCTCCTTTCAGGATGGGAAGTCATTGCTGAAGATGAAACCAAGGAAATAGATAGTCAAGGCTCTACCCCAGGCTTTGCAATGTCCCCAGGAATAAGTGGCTATAAGCAGAGTCATTTCTCATCAGGTATGTTAATAAAGGCAAAACAAGAGCTTCAGAGAGGGCAGGTGTTGACTGCGCGAAAGACCATTCTCTGGAGACTCACAGGCAATCATAGAAAAAGGATGCTTTGGCCATTCTTTCCTCTTCCCTCGGTGCTCCAGGGGTTTTAGACTGGTGTTCTAATCTCCCATCAGTCCCTGGTATGTATCCTAAATTCCTATGGGCCCTTAGATACTCTAAATGTCTTGATCACTGAATACATGAATGAATGTTAGTGTTTTGCATTTCCTGCCATTGTTTTAGGAAGGGAAGGACCTTCCTTTGAGAAAATTATTTTTAAAACTCATTGGTTGCTCAGTGAATTTGAGGGGATGGAGGATAACTGCAACTTGAGTGGGAGTCATTTGAAAAGATTCAGATAGATTCACCTTCCTCTTGCTTAAAACCAATAGAATATGGTATGGTTCGGGAGATGTTTAGTGATTCTAGCAGCAACAGTGATGATAAGGATGAGGAAGAGGATGAGGATGATGAAGAGGATGATGAAGAAGATGACTACAATGATGAGGATGAAGTTGAGAAAGATTATTATGAAGAGGATATGGAAAGGGAGCAACAGGCCAAGTTCTTTGCATCTGGCCAGTATGAGGCAAAGGAAGGAGCCAGTTCAGCAGGTAAGTTATGGGAGGAAAATCCAAAGGGGTGGGACAGAGTGGTTGGCAGTGCTGAAGATTGACTCTAAACACGTGTTAGATGCAAGGCTAAATTTGAGAAGTGGTGGCTGAGAGGTGGAGTGGAGTTTTGGTTGATTTTGATCTCGGTCCACCAGTTTGGGCCATGTTTAGATAAAATTTCCTTCTGTCTCTGTTAGTCGGGGATATTCAGAAGCAGATTCATTACACGGAGAAAAAGCTCCAAGAGATTCAACGCAAAGCACAAAGACAGAGGGATCTCCTAAAGAAAGTGGAAAGCCTGATGCTCAAGGTAAATTCTTGTTGGCTGGGATAAAGATACCTTGATATCTTACTGTCAAAATTCCATATTTGTGTTTCTAATTTGTATCATCTCTGTGCATCATTTCTATTCATTTGTTGACCTAAACGACCTCTTAGAAACCTCTAATAAGATATAGCCCTATTTCCTTTTATCTGAGTAATTTTGATCATCTCATACAAGCATTTTTGGGAAGAGACCAGGAGACTTGAGATAATGATGACCAATATTGAGCATCTGTTATGTAAAAGGCACATAAAGAGCTAAGCATTTTACATGTATCATCTCATTTCATGCTCACATTCCTGAAATACAGGTACTGTCACTAACCCTATTTTATAGATAGGGAATTGAAATTCAAAGAGATTAAGTAACTGGCAGTAAGACACAAATTGAATCATGTTGTTTGTACCAAAATGTATTCATTGAAGTGAAAGAAAATTAACGAAGTTCATTTTTAAATGTTATGATGCATGCCTGAACAAGAATAAATATTTTGCTTGATTTTTATTAATACATGTTTCAACAAAAGGAAAATGTACGTTTAGGCCATATTTGCATCATTTTTGTAGTGAGGGAAATTCTGAAGCATCTAGAAAATTCCTTGCCAGATTTCATTTTCTGGAGTGCTGTAGTCATCAAAATGGAGCAACTCGACACAGAACTGTACCTACTTAGAATGTTGTTCTTTATGCACACATTTTGAAAGATACAGGTGTATGGTATTATTGTGATATTGCATGGAGGACTAGTTAGGATTAATAATATTCTGCCTTAGTGCAGGGAAATGAATGAGTCAGCACCATATTCCAAGCCAGCTTTTTTAATAGTTCACCACAGTCAAAGGATTTGTGCTAAACTAGAAAAAGGTAACATTCCAAAAGGCATTCCAACCATTTATTTTAGGGCAAGAAAAAAATGTCATGCGTAGGTTTATAAAATCAAATCAGATGGCTCTGTAGTTAGGGGATGCAGTTTTTACACTCTAAATCCTTTAAAAAGAGTGCTCTTTTGTTATGACTGACAGTTTTCTTATCAAATTATTTGCCAAACTCTTTGTCTCACTTGGTTCCCTTTTCCTTTGAGACTCAGCATTCATCATTTATACAATTTGTGTTCCAGAGTCATTTATGGTCTGTGCTGGAGCAGCTTAAGTTACAGGAAAAAGAAAAAAATGAGCAGGTGAGAAGTGTGTTTTCGAATCAACCAGAAAACATTTGATGCAAAGAATTCCCCACCCCACCCCCAAAGTCATTTCTGGCTGTTTTTTTCACAGGAGCAGTAGTGGGCAAATCTTCTAAATGAGGATAGCAGGTTGGAACAAGGTTTTTGTGAAAATTCACTCATTCAGCAGATACTGAATGCTTATTAAGTGAAAAGCACAAGATGTACATACCGTGTTGAATAAGACAGATAGAGTACTTGTCCTCATGGAGCTAACTGTCTAGCATGGAAGATTGACAGTGAACAAATTAATATACAAATAGAGAAGTACAAATGGCAAAAAAAAAGTGCTGTGAAGGAGGAAGAATATCAGTGGTGGTATTTGAATAAAAGGAGTGCTGAATTAAAAGGAATTAAATTAAAATGATCGACCTTTCTGAGGAGTTGATACATAAGCTGAGACCTAAAGGGTAAATCCAGGTGAAGAGGGAATGGGGAGCCTCTTGGGTGGAGCATATGCCAGGTTCCCCATGCGGGAAAGAACCTGGCCTCTTTGAGGACCTCTGAGTATTTAAAGTGAGGAAAAGCATGACTTAACATAAGGGTAAAGAAGTAGGCAGAGGCCATAGAATATGATCCCTTGCAGGCTGTGATAAGGAGGAGGATGGGTTTTAGTCTCAAGTGCAGTGGGAAACCCTTGAAGAGTTTTAAACTGGAGAGAATCACATTTAATTTAAACTTTTTAAAGAGCACTCTGATTCTTATCTGGAGAATGGATTATAGGGGGGCAAGACTAGAAGCAGGGAGGCCAGTTAGGAGGCCATCTGGTAGTCTAATAAGGGAAAATGACAATTTGAACTAAGGTGGTGGCAGTGGCTATGGAAAGAATATATATATTTTAACTGTAATAAAAATGCTTTTATAACTGCTTTGTTGAGATATAATTCAGATACCATACATTTAAATTGTATGGTTCAGTGGCTTTTAGTATATTCACAGAATTGCACCACCATCAACGCAATTTTAGACAATTTTCATCACCCCAAAAAGAAACCTGTATTCAATGCCCAGTCACTCCCCATTTTTTCTGAATTCCTCCCATTTGCTGGACCAAGGCAACCACTAATGTACTTTCTCATCTACTTTCCCTATTCTGTTTATTTTATCTAAAAGGACATTTATAATATATGGTCTTTTGTATCTGGCTTCTTTCAGTTAGTATAATGTTTTCAGAGTTAATCCATGTTGTGGCATGTATCAGTAGTTTATTCCATTTCATGGGTGAATAATATTCTAATATTCCATGTGTGTAAGGATACATACACACACCATGTTTTGTTTATCCATTCATCCACTGATGGATGTTTGGATTGTTCTCACTTTTTAGCTATCATGAATAATGCTGCTACAAACATTCATATATGGGAAAATGTATTTTAAAGGTAGAATGGTTGGGACTTGAGTCAGTTATTGGGTGTTGAAGAAAGTGTTAAGGACGCATGCCAGATTTCTGACTTGAACAGCTATATTTTTTAAAGCCACAAGAGAGTGAGAAGAGTGAAAAGAGAATGTGGGATGATGTGGGATAAGTGAGGGTCAGGTAGCTGTACAGAAGATGTATGCTGGCTTCAGCTCTATAAAATTGAGGATAATAATTGTAAAGGAACTGGGGGTCATATGATGGGTTTAGCATAGGGCTCTTAAGGTAGAGACACCAACTCCCATCCCCATTCCCCATACAAGCAAGGCCAGCAGAATTCTGTATATTCCCTTCCTTTTAGGAAATCACTTAACCAAGCACTGCTTATAAACAACCATGTGAACAATTAATGCCAAATTGTTTTAGCACATGCTGAACATTTTTGTTTTCATCTACGTAAGTAGTATTGGGGAGTTTTATTTTCAACATGGAAATGTAGCTGTAAACTTTATTCACTCATAGTCCTTTATGTTATTAGTTCATTTATTGCCTACTTGAAGCTAGGTTCTGCAGGGAGCTACAAAATGCTTACAACCCAGTCTCTGCCTCCAGGCAGGGAGAGAGATCCATGAGAGGGACAGGAGTTTAACAGAATAAGGGCTCACTTTTGTCCATAGAGACTAAGGAATACTTCATAGAGAAATGATGTTTGGCTGGAGCCTTAAAAGGTAGGGTGAGGTTTTAATAAGGAGATACGGAAAAGAGGGCATTCTGTATAGAAAGTAGCATGCATGGTGACTCAGAGGCGGTGATGACAGGATAGAGTTGAGATTTTTGGTATAGGGCATAATGAGCCACCAAAACTTTTCACCTGGGGAGTGACTCAGGAAGATATCTCTGCCAGCAGTATATAGGAGAAATTGTTGAGTGGAGAGAGACTAGAGGAAGATGCAAGTGATGGAAGGAATCTGAGCCTAACAATAGATTGGATTCATGGGCCCAAAAGGAAAACAGAGAAGTCCAAAGCCTGAGTAACTGGAAAATGGTGTGCCACTAACAGAAGACAGCAGGAAGGGAATTGTTGGGGGCGGGTGATGGAGAAGATGATGAACTAAATTGGAATCATGCTGAGTTAGAAGCACTTTTGAAAATGGGAGATTGGAAAGTGGCTTATGCAGAGAAATGATCATTGAAGCTGTGGAGATAGATGAGTTCTCCAGGTTGACTGTTTAGCAAGAAGTCCAAACCTGGGGAAGAACCTTCCTTGAGGGGATGGTGAGAGCCCACAAAGGGGAAAGAACTTGGGCAGTCAGTGGTTGTAATCACATCAGCACCAGAGTGTAAAGAGCCTCTAAATTACTATAGGAGCACTTCTCATAATTCAGTAGGTGATGTGTGGCATAGGATCAGTTTCTAATGCTCCATTCCTTTCATTGCACAGAATGAAAATCTATGCTGGTATGGAGTGACCTGAATTGAATAATACTCAAAACCAGTGTCTGTTCCAAAGACAGTATACCTCTAAGTGTTATTGGTTACTTTGCAATTCCAAGTAAAAATAAATAAATACATTCTACACCACAGAAGGTTCAGGACTTCTGACTTAGAAAGAAACAAAAATAAGTGTAATATCATCAGGCTCCTGACAAGTCAGGTCTTTGGTTTGGTTTCCAAGTGTATCATAACATGGCAAGAAGCAGCAGCTAAGACTTGGTTTAAGATACAGTGTTCAGTAGGAGAAAAAGGCTATCCCAACTGCTTTATTTTCTCACTCTTGAAATATGGCTACAGTGATCCCTCTGTACACTCTTCCCAGAAATACAAAGTCTTAACAGCAAGCATATTTAATTTTAAAGCTTCCTTTTAGAAGTTTGGCACAGTAAAAGACAACATCATGCAGCGTTGTGCGTGCATTCTTGACACATTGCAAGACTCAGATAATTTTATAAAATACAAATTACAGTAGTTCTTTTTGGTTCATACAAGTAAATTCTAAAATTTTTTAAAATGTTTTATTTATTTCTGAGAGAGAGACAGCATGAGCAGGGGAGGGTCAGAGAGAGAGAGGGAGACACAGAATCCAAAACAGGCTCCAGGCTGTTAGCTAGCTGTCAGCACAGAGCCCAACATGGGGCTCAAACCCACAAACTTTGAGATCATGACCTGAGCCAAAGTCGGACGCTTAACCAAGTGAGCCACCCAGGCGCCCCACATACAAGTAAATTCTAGATCAAGTAATGGAACTTAAGATTTCAGAACAATTTTTCATGTTTTTCTGCCTCTCCCTACAGCTCATTTTCCTCCAGGAACAATTGAAATCTATTTTGCAGAAGTAAGAGAGCCTTCGGCCTGGCACATGAACCTTGGATTCACTATCCAGACTGAAGACTGGATGAAATTGTACGTGTTTTTGTCCCTTTCATTGCCTTCTGCCGAGTCACTTATTTGTTTATATAAAACTTTTTCTGCTAGTCACATTTGAAGTTGATAGCTGTGTAGAAAGGGACAGAATATAAAAAGTAGTAGACCTAAAATCCCAACTCAATATAGAACTTCCCTTCTCTTTATCAATTTGAGAATTGCTTATATTGCCTCTGTTCTGTTGGTGCCATCAAGTGATTCAACCATGCTTGCCAAAGACAGATAAGTCTAGCCTTAAGGCCGTACAGCTGTTTTGCATATGTTTTCAGTTCCCTTATTCTATTTTAAATATTTCCTAAAACATGGAACAAATCATTTCTACCAAAGTCTAGGACCTTCCACAGTGAATTAAGTGCCTACCTCCCAGCAGTTAACAACAGGTTGTGTCCCGTCTCTGTTAAGGTAATAGGGGCAGCTTTCCTGCTCAGGGATGATTTCTTGTTGCTGCTATCTTTGTTCTGTTGTGTTTTTAGGATTGTGTCTGGTTATTGTTTGCCAGCTAAGAGAATAGTTAGAGATGAAATTCTGAGTTATCTTTATTCTGAGCCTCTTCATCCTAACCCCCATCAGAAAAGGTTAGGAAAAATCAGATGCCTGTGATGCCTATGAAGACTCCTTTAAAAGCCCTGAGTGGGTTTGTTTTTTCAGCTGTATTGTTAAAGTTTTCTGGCTTGTGTTCTTTAAGCAATAAATAAATTCATTTTAAATGGATTGCTGTCACTTTTTTAAACCACTTCCATGATGAGTACACTCCTATTCAAAAGGAAACTAGAGAGACAACCAATAAACTCTACCATCAGGAAATGACAGAAGATACTGTCAATACTGGGGCATCCTTTTAAAGAGCTCTTGGGATAACTCCTAATGAACTAAGCAAATCATCTCATATTAACCATATCGCACTGAGATTTTGAGAAAGCATCTAGAGATGTGATAAAAATGGCAATATTTGCATTGACTTATGTTGTAGTGGAAAGAACACAGGCTGGAATCCTGGCTTTTCCATTCACCTTGAGCAGGTCCCTACACCTCTTGGGGCCTGTTATGTTTTCATCTAGACATCAAGGATGATAATGCTTATGACCAAGAGGTATGTGAGGGTTTTCTGGAAGTAGTCCAGCTAGACACAGGCCTGGTCCCAATTGATGGAGTCAGTGCTGCTCTAAGAAATGAACTCAAGTTTTTTGTGCCACTTATAGTGCTCCCATTCCAAGCTCAAGTTAATAAGCCAGGGGCAGTGAAGTACAGGTCAGTATGTATGGCCAGGGCCTGTAGAAAAGGATGGAAGATGGAAGGGATACTGGGGGCAAATGTGGGGAGGAAGTGGGACTAAGGAAGATAGACCCATTAAGGGCAAACAAAATGAAGTTAAGATTAGGAAAGAAGCTAGAGGACAGCTTCAAAACCAAGATGGTATTAAAAAAAATTTTTTTCCCCAGAAATCCAGGCTTTAAAAGATGAGAAGTGGGAGAAAGGGACTGAAGATATGGGGGAAGAGGCAACATTTGGAAAGAAGACAGGCTTTTCCAGATGAAGGAAGGCAGGAGGGGGGCACCTGGGTGGCTCAGTTAGTTAAGCACCCGACTCTTGGTTTTGGCTCAGGTTGTGATCTCACGGTTCCTGAGTTCAAGCCCCACATCAGGCTCTGTGCCTTCTTGGGATTCTCACTCTCTCCCTCTCTCTCTGCCCCTCCCCTGCTCATGCTTTCTCTCTCTCTCAAAATAAATAAACTTAAAAAAAAAAAGGAAGGCAGAGTTTCAGCAGAAACAGATAACAAAGCATCCTGGGGACATAGCTGGAGAGACTGAGGCTAGTGAGGGTGGTATATGTGGCACAGGTGGCATCTAGAGGTGCTAGAGGTAGAAGAGCCCTAGTTCAGCCTCTGTCCAATACTAAAGCCCAAGAACAGCCAGAACTCTCCTGAGAAGCAGGATGGAAGGGAAGACAACAGGAAGGGGCAAGGGTGAGTCCATGCATCTGCGGTGACCTTCCATTTCTTCTGCTACCACATCTCACTGTAACCCAGGGTAACTGCTTCACCATTGCCCTCCAGTCACCCAAGGCTTACTGCTGCCCTGACTCACCACCTCACCCTGACACACACACACACACACACACACACACACACGATACCTCATGAAGTCTTTTTCTACAGCCCAGTGATTCTGAATTTTGCATATTACAAACCTGCGCTGTCCAATATGGTATGCAGTAGCCACATGTGGGTTTTGAGCACTTGACGTTTGGCTAGCTTGGACTGAGATGTGTAGTAAGTATAAAATATACACTCAGTTTCTCTAGGGGAACTGGTGCCCTGCCAACCTTGCACTCTTAGCATAGGCAGAATGCCCTGTGATCCTTCAGAAACATGGGAAGATAGGCGGTCTCACAAGAAGTCACTACAAGACCATTTCTCACCTCCCTATCTTGAGGGAAGCTTCTGGGAGGCAGTTTCTCATCTGCCTCCCTCATTCAGGTAATGAGTAAGTCCTCATAAGGCATAGGACTTACTTTTTTTTTTTTTTTAATGTTTTATTTATTTCCGAGAGAGAGAGAGAGACAGCATGAGCAGGGGAGGGTCAGAGAGAGAGGGAGATACAGAATCTGAAACAGTCTCCAGGTTCTGAGCTAGCTGTCAGCACAGAGCCCGACGCGGGGCTCGATCCCAGGAACCGCAAGATCATGACCTGAGCCGAAGTCAGACGTTCAACTGACTGAGCCACCCAGGCGCCCCAGACATAGGACTTTCTGCCTGCTGTACCATCCCCAAAGGATATAGCTGCAGGCCATAAAATTGCTTAGCTGCAGTGTGGAATTGGCCGCTAGGCTATAGAATATCCCACTATCCATGTTGTGTGTCCTTGGGCCTCTTGTTTCAGTGGCATCCTGTGGAACAAGGGATGCAGGGAGGTGATACCATTGCTGATCTTGCTTTGGTTGTCTTCTATGAGTAGTAAATTGTCTGGATCTGTGTGGGTCTCGTTTCTTTCCAGCTGAATTTGTCAATTTCTAAGACTTAGTTTAAAAAAATGGAATATAAAATATCTCATTGTTTTACACTGATTTCATGTTGAAATGATGTTTTGGATATACCAGGTTAAATGTTAAAATTAATTTCACCTGTTTATTTTTTTAAATTTATTTATGTTTTGAGAGAGCAGGGGAGGGGCAGAGAGGTGGGGGACACAGAATTGGAAGCAGGTTCTGCACTGACAGCAGAGTGCCTGATGTGGGACTCTAACTCATTAACCACAAGATCATGACCTGAGCAGAAGTCAAATGCTTAAACAACTGGGCCACCCAGGTGCCCCTCACCTGTTTATTTTTTTTTATTTTTATGTATTTTTAATTTTCTTAATGTTTATTTTTGAGAAAGAGAGAGAGCGAGAGAGAGAGCGAGGGCGGGTGCAAGTGGGGGAGGAGCAGAGAGAGAGGGAGACACAAAATCCGAAGAAGGCTCCAGGCTCTGAGCTGTCAGCAGAGAGCCCAGTGTGGAGTTCAAACCCCTGAGCAGCGAGATCATGACCTGAACTGAAGTTGGATGCCCAACAGACTGAGCCACCCAGGAGCCCCATTCACCTGTTTATTTTTTATATATGGCTGTTAAAAAATATGTGTATGTTTCTATTATATTTCACATTATATTCACATTATATTTCTATTGGACAGTGGTGTTATAGATTGGTGAGAAGAAAACTTGGTGGTGGGGAAGAGGGACTCCTGGGGCGCCTGGGTGGCTCAGTCGGTTAAGCCTCTGACTTTGGCTCAGGTCATGATCTCACGTTTCATGGGTTCAAGCCCCACGTCGGGCTCTGTACTGACAGTTAGCTCAGAGCCTGGAGCCTGTTTTGGATTCTGTATCTCCCTCTCTCTCTGGCCCTTCCCTGCTCACGCTGTGTCTCTCTTTCAGAAATAAATAAGACATTAAAAAAAAAAAAAAAGGAAGAGGGACTCCCAGGGTTTTATTTTGCCAGAAAAGTGGCATTAATAAAAACAAAAACAAAAAACTACTGCCATAGTTTCATCAGGGGCACAGTTTCACCACAGTTACAGGGGCATTTTAACACTCCAAAAATTATATGCCCATAATAAAAGATCTTTAAATTGAGTAAATGTAACTTTATGGAAATTCACTGAATTGTTTTGATTTTCCTCACATTGCTTTAGGCTGGTGAAAACTCCCTCAGATTGATGAGGGTGATTATTTAAGAACTATTGCTATAGACAGCTCGTCCCATGAAGGGATAACTGGCTAATCTGCGTGGAACCTTGAGAGGCAACCAATCCACATAACAATAGTGGATGGGGCTAATGCAGGTAGGCTGGTTTTTGTTTTGTCCAGCAGGTGCTGAACTCATCTGGTAGCCCATGTTTTGCAGTATCTCTGCGGCTTCTTGGCCCACCCTCTCTTCCCACACCTAAATGAGGGAAGGATGTGGAACATCAGAATCAGAGTATAACCAGAAGAAGCAAAGTAAACAAATACAAATTTATTCTTTTCAAAGCAGAATTAAAGGGAAAGGGGAAAAGCACCACAGTGAGTGGCAATTAAAGTTAACCAATTTGTTCCCAGCTCCACCTGCTTTGTCCCAAACTTTTCTAGACCTGTGTGCCCCCCTTGCCACTTCCCCCCTGCCCCGGATCCCTTCCCCAACTTCCATTCCTGAACCAGTTCTTGCAGCCAGCAAACAGCATAGCAGGCTCCACTCTGGCCTCAATATTGCCCTGGGGACAGCAAGGACATTCAGCAGCCCCCCCGCCCCCACACACCGACCCAATGCAGCAGCTGTGGGATGAGATGGAGGCTGGGAGCTGAGTCCTGGCCTTGAGCCTTTCCCTCTCCCACAGCCGTTGGTGTTAAAAGAGTAAGAAGGAGCTGAAGTATTCCTTTGTTCCCAGGGCCAGATTTTGGCAGAGAGGTCCAGAGATAGAGCTGCCCAGCTGCCCTGCTCAGTCTCCACAGCCCAGTGGGCAGGTCCCCCCAGTTTCTCTCCCAGGACTGTTCGCCTTAAGGCAGCTTACTTTTTTGGCTAGCTGTCACCTATGCTAACGAAACTTTAATGAGATTCTTGGCCTGAAATGGTCTCGGAGGCCACAAGTCATCCATTGAGAATGTGTGTTCCAGGAATTTTCTAGCATAAAGCTGGACATGGAGCCCAGATGCCAAACACACACCTCAGGCAGCATGGGTATTCCTTAAAATTAACCTGGAGGAAAAACATCTATCTCCCAGTACTGGCCTCTGCCTGACCTCAGGGTTTCTCATTACCGTGGCCTGCCAGCCCAGTTCCTGGAGCACAAGAAACTCAAACAGGTTTCTCTACCAGGAAATATTTTCAAAGTTTGGGCCTTGAGGGAAATGGGCACTCGAGAGCCTTGATTTCAGACTTGCCATTCTGGAGGGAAGGGCATGTGTCCTTCTGGGTAAGTCCCTCCTTAGGGAACCATCCAACAAATAGCTTGATGTTCTGCAGCCAGTCAGCCTTTTCTAACAAGTTCCCAGTCAACATGACCCTGCTCTGCTCTCACTTTGAGCAGAGGCACCCTCATAACAGCTTTTTGGCCTCTTTCAGATCCTGTCAAGAATAAATCACCTGTCAATCCTAACTGCTCCTGATACTATTTGACAACAACCCCAGCAAAAACTCATGCTCCTTCTCACTGATGCTAATCTCACAAGTCAGAGGCTTTCTTTAAGCTGCCTACCCAGAAAACCCGCTTTACCTCTCCTCCAGTACAGGGCCATACATTATGCAGCATCACAAAAAAAGGTACCTCTAAGAGACACGATACATGACAGATGCTTAACAACATACAACACATCTCAGTAAATCTCACCCTAATTTGGATTCATGGTGCCCAAGGATCTATTTACCTCACTGCGGGCAAACTTCCTGCACATGTTGCAGTGACTGTCACTGGACCCTTGACTGATACACTCACCTCAGTCATTAGGTACACACGGGACCACACACAAAGGGTCAGTGACCCCATTAGTGAGAATTCAACTCCTAACCTGCTGCTTCGGTCCACCTACAGCACAAATCCTACATAGCAAGATCTACATCTTCTCTACCATGCCTAGCCCACTGCAGTTGCCACAGGCCCTCAGCAGCCCAAGATCTCTTGGGTGAGGTGAGGGTTATGGGAAGGATTTTCTAGGACTTTCCTGGTCAAAGACTGTTTCATAACATCTGCCTTTCTAAGCCTTAGGCAGGATATGCCTCAAAGACCCTGTGCTCCCTGACCTATAGCAAATATCTTCTCCCCCTTTCCTGCCTACAAACTATGCCCCTACAATTACAGCCCCCTACCATTGGACAGATGCCCACACTCTGTGTTTGTTGCCCACCTAAGACCTGTTCACTGTACATCCAGATACCTAGGCCTCCCATCCAGAGACCTCATGGGCACTAAGGCACATGTTGTGGTTAGGTCTGATACTCTGGAACTATGGCTTAGTGCTCCCTGGAAATTCTAGAAGGAAGTAATCCTAGGCTTCTGGACCCAAGCTGCTGCCCTCCTTCCCCTGAAGCAGATAAATTTAACCTTCCAGAAGTTCTACCCACTGGCTCACTGCTTGATTATAACAGAGCACCCCAACTATCTCACACCCTCCTGACCTTGGTGGCAACTGCTGCTTTCTTTGAGTCCCTGAGCCAGACTTAGGACCTAGAAGGGGCTGGAGGGTATTCTCTGTGTCAAAGCCTGACAAAAGCCAATAAAGGCCTATCTGTTCCTTTTTGTCTGCATGGGATGAGTAGAGCTTGCGTTTGCTCTATTTTGGCACCTGAACCATTGTTTAGGGGAGCCCAGGAAAATTCATCCAAGGCCCAGGTGTCAAGAGAATGAGATTTGGAATGAGTGAAGAGAACAGAGTGACTCTTCCCATTAGATTCCACTGTGGCCATAGGCTTCTGTTGGCTTTGATCTTGAAGACAGCTCACCCCAGACATGGATGGAGAGACACCCTAGGGGGAGCAGCCAGAATGCATCTATCAGTCCAACCAGAGGCTGGGGCTAACAAAGAGCAAGGCAGAACAGTAATACTTTGAGAGGGATTAGAATTTAATGTATGAGTGAGGCCAGGGGAGTACTGATGTACAGTAGATATGCAGGATAGGTCTATATGTATATAAACTTAGGCAAATTAAGTCAATTGCGGGGCTCTAGATTATAAAGCTCTTTTTGATAGAAAGCTGCCTCAGTGGGCTCTGATTCTGTTCAAATTTTCCAACCCCACCCTCCCACCCCCCTGCTATCTACTTTGAACAATTTATGGATAAAGGGATTATGGTATATGTAGCCTAGGAAGAGTTAGTTTCCTTTGAGGATTGGGTTCACCTTCCAGAGTTAGAAAGAACAGTTTTATGCAAAGGAAGGCCTTGCTGTTGTCTGGGTGGAAAGTGGCCAGCTTCCTGATGTATGGTCAGTGTTTCCTAGGAAGGGGCCACTATTTAGGGTTGCCACTTGCATCTGCCTTATGGTTAGCTGAGGACAGTCAGCCACTTTATCTGATTCAACCTAAAAGATAGAAGGGTCACAACCTGCAAGAGTGTTGGGCAGTCATACTCTTCCAGGCTGGCGAGTGGCTTCCCCTTCCTCACCCAAGCGGAGCAAGACTCCCTTGCTGAGCAAGTTGCTGCCTCTACCCCAGGGCTAGAGGGCAGACCCAGAAGAGCCAAGGGTGGCTTCAGCTGGATTCCTAGAGCAACTCAGCTGGTGTCTCAGGATGCTGAGTCCCTCAGGAAAGAGGATGATTGGGGGAAAAAATCAAAACCTGTAAGTATTTCTTTACTGTTTCCAAATGTAAGGTGTGAGTAGGAATCAGAACGAATTGTTCCCGCCCCCCCCCCCCCATTGAGGAAAGTCTGCCAGGGCCTGAGGCAGAAGGAACTGCAGATATTCGAGGGGGAAACAATATCTAAGTAGTATCAGGATGGCTAGAGATATTTCATTAAACAATAATATGCCACATGATCGCTTCTCAGCCTTTTGGCTAAGATCAAGTATAATATGCCACATGTTGCCCAGACATTTTCAGGGGCACTTTTTTTTTGTGGGCGGAGGGGGTCTCAGGGATACTCCCTGAGCTGGGCCAGAGAGTAGAGCTAACTCCTGTGGATTCATAATGCTGGAATCCTGGGGTCATTAGGTTTCCTTATCTCCATAATTCCATAGAGAAGGGAAAGGGGTTGATGGGTACTGCTTAGCTCTGCAAGGCAGCTTCTTGTCCCCAACTGAATGGCTTCCAAGTGCCATTTACCTGGACCACAACAGAGACATACTTACAGGACTGATCTCAAACTTGAGGATTAAAGGACACATTTCTATAATTGGAGGAATCGTGCTTCTCCCTCCCCCAGTCCTCACGCATCCACTTCACATACGAGCAGATCCCTGCTGCTGCCCAGAGCCCAAATAACTCTGGTTGAGGATGCAGGTAGGGACTAGAAAGGTTGGGTGAAGGCTAAAGGAAGACTTTGACCAGAACCAGGAGAAGACTGGATTATAGGATGGGGATCTGGCTCCATCAAGAGGCCAGCAGGGTGTTGGCAGTCACATCAGAGCTTCGCACACTGGGAAAGGCATGGCGGAGCTTCTCCATGATGTCCTCTAAGCACAGGCTGACATCTTGGCTCTTTGACCCCACATCATCTACATTGGAAAAGAGAGATTTAGAAAGAGAACTAGAGATTTCTTGATGAGGCCAAGGGGCTGAGGCAGGATGCTGCCAGCTGAAGGACAAACCCACAGCATTTGTGTCATCCCAGCACAACGTCTAGTACATAGGAGGTGTTCAATACACATGTGTAGAATAAGCAAATGAATGAATCCATCAATTAGCCAATCATTCCTGATGCTAAACTCAAATTCATGAGGAGAAACCAGTCTCAGTCCTAGCAGAGCCTCGGGCAGATCTGGAGCAGGATGAAGCCACGGAGGGAAGGGGCTGAGAGGGGCTGGGATGGGCTGGGGGGAACTTACCTGCCACCTCAGTATCTGGAGTAGTCTGTCCCTTCTCCTGGGGGTGACTGCCCTCTGATTGCTGTGGAGACGAAGCTAGGGACGAGCCTGCAGAGCCATTGCCATCTGATTCGGTGGGTGGCTAGTAAGAGGTAAGGCATGACTTAAATGACTTTGCTTTCCTGACCTTACTTTAACAGACTCCTGAGCTTAGAAAGGGTTTTAGAGACTTCATGCCCATCCTTTGCCCTTGGACTTTAAGAAGTTTTTAGTGGTTCCCCAAACAGCGACTCTCCCTTTTAAGAAACTTCTTAGAATATCTAGTTACCAGTTACCTTCTTCTGTCAACAACATGTGTCAAAGGTTCCCAGTTTGTATAAGGATGGCATTGCACCTAAAGGTCTCTTGCTGTCATCTTGGCTATAATTAAGCTATTTAAAACCTAGTTCTCTCTGAAAATATAGAGTTGTACACCCGATCATCTGTTCATGATACAATATTGTATGTTAAGACCTCCAGGAATTCATCTAGAGGCTATCCCTTGGAGGATCTGGGGAAGAGGCATAGGGTGGTATTACTTGGTACATATAATGACAATACAGTTGACCCCTGAACAATGTTGGGGTTATGGGCACTGAACTCCCTTCTGTGTAGTTAAAAATCCACATATAATTTTGGACTCCCCCAAAACCCAATTCCTAATAGCCTACTGTTGGCCAGAAGCCTTACTGATAATATAAACAGTAAATAAACTGTTATATATGTTATATGTATTATATATTATATTCTCACAATAAAGTCAGCTAAAGAAAATAAAATGTTATTAAGAAAGTCATAAGGAAGGGAGCATACACTTACTGTACTGTAAAAAAAAATCCACACAGAAGTGGAACCACATAGCTCAAACCTGTGTTGTTCAAGGGTCAGCTGTGATAGGTAACATTTACAAAGTATTTACTATATTCCTGGCATCATGCTAAATTCTTTAAATTCATTGCCTCATTATATGCTCACAATTCCGTGAAGTTATATTATTATCCCTGCTTTACAGATGGGGGAATTGGGGATAAGTGAGGCTAAGTCACTTTCTTAACACCTAACTGGCACTGATTGGCAGAGTCACATTCAAACTCTGGGATGTCTGACTCCATAGCTTTACTATATCACTTCTCTCTTTTTTTTTTAAATATTTTTATTTATTTCTAGGAGAGAGAGAGAGAGACAGCATGAGCAGGGGTCGGTCAGAGAGAGAGGAAGACACAGACTCTGAAATAGTCTCCAGGCTCTGAGCTGGCTGTCAGCACAGAGCCCAACGCGGAGCTCGAACCCACGAACTGCAAGATCATGACCTAAGCGAAAGTCGGACGGTCAACCGACTAAGCCACCCAGGCGCCCCTACTATATCACTTCTCAAGGAGGAAAGGGACAAACAGTAACAGGGAGCTCCCTTCCCAGCAAAACTCTTTTATCTTGCCCAGCATGCCCAAACCTGCTTCTTTCTAGAAAATGCCATGGTAGCAAAATCAAGGTTTTGGATGAGTCTTTGAACTTTGTTCTTTCAATACCAGATTCAAATGGGTTGTTGGGGAAGTGAGCACCCAGAATTGGCCGAGCAATGGGACATACCAGCCCCTTCTTTCCTCCACCTTCCCTAATTGTCAGCCCAATTCTCTTCAGAAAGTCATCCAACAGCCACTGCCAACGAGATCTTTTGTTCCTTCCCTTTGCTGTCCTCTCCAGCTTCCCACCCCTCGGGGGCTTCTCTGGTCCTTCCCCCAGCTCCAGCCTCACCTGCAGGAGCAGCTCCCTTAAGCGCTGCAGCTGAGACTCTAGTTGCTTGTTGTGGTCCTCAAGGATCTGCATGCGTGTCTCCAGGCGGCTCTTGTGCTGGCGAAGGATCCGGGCCTCAGCCAGAAGCTCCTCATTGCAGTGGTCCTGTGCTACCTCAGCAGAGCCCTCAGCCAGTGTCGGGGCCTCAACAGCCTCCTCATGCTGCCACTTCAGGCGCCTCAGTTCTCCCTGGAGAATCCTGTCAAGGACAGTGGAGCCAAGACCTATGGCCCTAACAAAGTATTGACTGTCCAGGTCCCGGATGTCCCCTCATACCTCAGTGTGAGCAACCCCTTTGCCTTCCCATCCGCATCCCCATTCTTGTTTGAATGGCCATATCCATTTCTTCTCTAGCATATATGTCATTTATTCTGCCATCCTTGGGTCTTGGAGCAGAGAGAGCTGACATTTCATATAAAAATGTCTCAGAGCTTTGATGTGCTGTTTCAGGGGTTAATTCTGACTTTAAAGTCAGGCATAAATACAGTCTGCAAATAAATGAGGCATTAGGGCCACTGACTCACCTACTCCATTTTTAGATTTTTAGATTCGAGTGGAAGATGTAAACAAAAGACCACCTATCTTGCCTCTTCTGTCCACTACCCGCCTCTTTGAACACCCATGTTAAGTCATCAAGAAACAAGTTCCAAAGAGATGGTCTACTTTGGGGGACATTACTTTTGCAACAGAACCATTCTCTCACCAATGTTTTCCAGGGCCAGGCCACTGCTGATCTAATGCAATGCTTCTCTAACTATCTGTAGCAAAATCCTGGGACAGGGGTTGGAGGTGGTTTTCAATCACTGTGGACCAATAAGTGGTTTAAATGCGTAAGGCTAGTACACAGCTCATGCCACACATGACATGCCACACAAGTTCAACAACACTCAAATGGGTCTATACCTTATTCAATGAAAAGTCGACTAATTAGGTGCTTGGATGACATGGCAATGTCAAATTGCTATAAAGCCTTCTAAAAGCTTATTCTCTACTTATCTTGTCTTGAACCAATAATGAACCAATAATGAAGATTTGGCAGACCAGCCCTGTTCTGAGGACTTGCCACTCCAGGTAGTCTGATGGGCATTCTCCCTTCCTTGGGAACTGGTTAAAAATGTAGAACTTGGGCCCCACCCTAGACCTGTGAATTAAAATATGCATTTTGCCCAGCTCCCCAAGTGACTTGTATGCACACTAATGTTTGAAAAGCACTTTTCTGAGGAATACTTTGGGTTCTACTGAATGCCCCCAAAGTGGCTTGAACCCTCCTCAGGCCCTCGTACTTTATGGACATAATTGTCATCCTTGTAATCTTCATCTTTCTTCTGCCAGTCTTCAAACACTCCATGCTGTGCTGCTCTCCTCTTATTTTATTACTTTCAGTAAGTGATAAGTACCTCTTTCCATTTCCAACACTGAAAGTTCCTTGAAGGTAGAGACATGCATACTCTCTTCTGTAATTCTCTGTGTTTGCATTCTCTCTGCTTGTATCTACTGGATACTTGAAAAATATTTGGGTTGAGTTCAAAGGATGCAACTAATTATTAGAATAGCTAGCATTTACTGAACTTTCATGATAAGCTAGGTACTGGCTAATACATGTATATGCCTGATTTTCTTTGAAATTCACAAGTGACTCTAGGAGGTAGATACTATTATCATCATTCCTATTTTGCCAATGAGGAAATGGAGGATCACAGAATATAAGTGACTCATTCAAGGCCACATAACGAGGATGTGGAAGCATCAAGACTTGAATTCAAGCTGTTTGACTCTCAAACCCACATAGATCTGTGGCATCACCACACCCACCGGTTCTCATCCTCTAAGTGGGCCAGGATCTTCTCTAGCTCCCCCTTGCTTTCTGTGGCCAGGCTGCACGGAGCCTGCTGTCCAAAGGCTGTCTCCCGGTCTGTAATGGGACTGGAGTGCCGTAGCAGGTACTGGTCCTCATCTCTGCACGGGTGTGGGGAGAGGAAAGGAGGTGGCCAGGGATTGAACCAAGAAACATATCAGGGCATGAGTTCTCAGCTTCCAGATAAGGTCTCAGGAGACATGCTGGAAGATTCACTTCTAAATCACATAGAAGGGGAAAGGCTATATATTCAGGTTTAAGAGGGATGGAAGTGTTTAAAGATGGCAGAGATTGTGGTTGAGGGTATAGAAGAGAGGGTTTTCAGGATGCTGGGGCTTCTGGGTTCTACCTAAAGTCCCCTGGGAAACAGTGAGGAAATCACTTCCCACTCTGTGCTGTTCCCTGACCACATCCTCCATTGCTTCCTCACTCGCCCAGGGGCTCACTGCCTGTCTAAGTCCCAATCAGGGCCAGCTTGATCCACTGACCAGTAGCTCCTAAGCCCCTTGAGAATGCCAGGAATCTCCCTAGGAATAAGGGGCCACTCTCTGAGCTATAGCATCAGGGAATCTCTCTGTTCACACTTCAGTCAAGTCCCTGATGTCTCCCCAGGGTGTGGTACTAGATGGGGCTTTGGCATCTTGAGCATAGGATAATGACTCATTTCTGTAACTTTAAATGAGGGCATATACTTCTTCCTTCAAAACTAGGCATAGAAGGATGGGAGCTTACAAGAGGAAGGGACCTGAACAGATGGCCGCTCAGTCAATAGAGGGCTTCTATTACTAACTAAATACTGTGCCCAAAGAGCAGCTTTCCTTCCTTGGGGCTTCTAGGACCCTAACCACCACACTCCCCCCACCCTTCAGGATACATCCTTCCCAAATGGTGGTGGAGGGATCCCAAAGAGAATTATTCCTGGAAAATTAAGCAGCTGTGAAAACTTACATGCTGTCATCTGGGGACAGGCTATCATTAAAGAAGGAACAATTTTGACTTTCCATCTCAGCAAGCCTGGGAAGAAAGAGCAGGAACAAAAGGGAAAGCAGGATGTGGGGCCTGCTTTCATCTCAAGGACTCTAATCCCACAATAGGATCATTAGCTTTGATGGCTGCCCCAACTGCCCTTAAGTGTTGGGCCTCACTGGCTGCCACATACTCCATTTTGCATGTCCCTCTGGTCTTGACTCCATTCTCTTTGCCCTGACTGAAAACCCCATCCCCCTTAGACTCTTGAAAACCTCCCTCTCCCAGACCTGGTGGTACCTGCTGGCAAAATGTTCAATGCGGGAGTGTGTGTCGGCGTGTGGCAACATCGGGGAAGAAGCCAGCCTAGAAGAAAGCAGCAGACTCAGATGGCCAAAGAATGGGTAGCTGAGCAGTCTGTTACCTCATTACAACCATCCCCACTCCCTACCACCAAATTAGGGAGATGGGCAAGAGTTGATGGGAACAGGATATAGAGACTGGATTCTAATCTATTTCTCAGGCCAGATTCCTGTCAGGCCTAAGCTGAACTTCCTTGTTACTAGTCAGGTTTGCCTTGGAACATTCCTCTAGCCCACGTGGGACTCAGCCCCTACACAGCACATCCCCAGCCCAGCAAGGCCCACAGCCCATGCTCAGCCACTGGTACTCACGTCTCACTGTAGTCAGCCTCCAGCACTGATTGCACAGGCAGATAACCTCGCTGAGGGTGTTTGCTGAAATAATGCTTTGAGCGGAATTTGTTCTTTAAGGTGGTGGCAAAGTCTCTCATGTTCTCACTGGATGTGGTCTAGGGGGAGACAGGGCAGAGGGACTCACCCTAATGGCTTCAGGATGCTGGGGAGGTGCTCCCTTAGAGCAGGGAACATGACTAGTAATCTACTCTTACTCATGTCTACCATGCCCCACTCCCAGAAAAATGTTGAGAAGGGTACAGTGCCAAAATGTGAACACTAGTTGCCTCTGGGTAGTTGGCCTGGAGAAGTGGAGGCAAGGATGAGGAGAGAGGGGAACTTTTGTTTTATACTTTATTTATTTTTTAAAAAATTACGTTTTATTTCTTTCTGAGAGAGAGAGAGAGAGAGAGAGAGAGAGAGAGAGAGAGAGACAGCATGAGCAGGGGACGGTCAGAGAGAGAGGGAGATACAGAATCTGAAACAGGCTCCAGGCTCTGAGCTAGCTGTCAGCACAGAGCCTGATGCGGGGCTTGAACCCACAAACCATGAGATCATGACCTGAGCCAAAGTTGGATGCTTAACCGACTGAGTCACCCAGGTGCTCCTGTTTTATACTTTATATACCTCTATATTATTGTAAGCTTTTACAGTAAGTATATATTTGTTAATGCAGGAGGTAGGGCATTCTCAGCCTCTCAAATCCAGCCAGTTTTCTGTGCATGACTTTTCTAATGACTTTTCTAATATTTCAAGTGATAATAAAATAAAAATAAAGGGCAAGGTCCCTGCTCCCACTGAGTCACACATGTTTCTGTGCCAACAGAATATGGAGAAGAGACAATGATTTGGAGGGATGGATTATGGGGAAACAGGTTGAAAGATGGGGTGATAGGGTGGGAGAGAGCAGTAGGAGGAGCTGGCAATATACTTGGGACTTTGGGAGTATCCGTGGGGCAGAAAGGGATAAAGGAATTTGAGGAGTAGAGTTAGCTCAGGGAGCTAAACATGGAGCTGTGGATCCTGAAATTCTGAAATTCCACAGCACAGGAGAAATTCTGAGTGGAGTTCAGGAATGCTGACCAACCTGACTCAGTTCACTATGAAGGGCACAGTTTCTAATGAAAACCAAGTGTAATTTGGGGACCCAGGTAAAGGACATACCCTTTTTAACCTCCAAGAGACTGAATAATTTGAGCACAAACTTTGGTATTGACTAGAAGGTATGGAAGTAATGACAAAGTAGCAGGTAACGACCAGGTGACAGAGCAATGCAGGAAGCTAGGTAGGAAAAATTAAAGTGAGCAATGGAAGGAAGTTTAGTTGCCTGGAACTTTCTTGCTCTCTCTATTTTTTCCTCAAACTTTTCCCTGCAGGAAAATACTGAATGCTTTTTTTTTTTTTTTTTTTTTTTTTGAGAGAGAGACAGAGAAACAGAGAGAGTGCAAGTGGGTGAGGGGTAGAATATAGTTAGTCTATGCTTGGCAAGATGGATCAAGGGCCTAGAACCTGAGAATGGCCTTCCCGTCCTACCCAGCCCAGAGGCTCCATACCGGGGTGTAATACTCCATGATGGGGTAGTGCAGCTTGTTGCCTTTGCTGGCCCTGCCTGTTAAGAAGCAGGTCTGGCAGATGTCCACATTAAACTGTTTCAGACTCCGGTACCTTAGGGAGACAAGAGGTGGTAGGGCAGAGGATCTAGTGTACCATAGTGACGTCCCCATTTCCCTAACATCCAAATATACATACATACATTAGAAGAGCGCAGGACATGGAGTCATAATGTGCTCAACCTCCTATACATAACAGTGGCTTCATCCTCACTAGATGACTAGCCTTATTTTAAAGACCACAAACCTCCATGAAATTACATGCTCAGACTCTTAGGAAGTATGGGGAATAGCATTGCCTCACCATCTTTTTTAAAAGGGTGGAAGTGGGCAGGGGTAAGGAGCTCATGATGTCAAATAGCTTTCTAAACAAAGATGGCCTCAAAGGGTCCAGTGTAACAGGTAACACTGCCTACATTGGAGAACTCACACTTCCAGTACAAAGGCTATTTATTCTACCAGCCTTGGGCAAGTTGGCTGTTATTTCCAAAACTTGTTTATAAAAATAACTCTATTATTACTGAATATTGACTAGTCCATCTGATCCAGGTCCAAAACCTGGCTGAACTCCCCAGACCAGACCTAGTAGTACAGAATTGTGAAATGCCTGGACTTAGAGAAGTCAAGAGGATTGAAAGTCTAGTCCTGTTTCTACACTAACCAACTGTGTGAACCTGGGCAAGTCACATTCCACGCCTGTGCCTCATTTGCTTATAAAAAGCCGGGCAGTTGTAAAGAGAATGCCTTACTGCTTTAAAAAGTTTTAAAATTGAGCATTTTATGATGAAAGCCAAATTCTGGATAGTCAGAGGAGGAGGGGAACTGTAACCAGGGAAGCTTCAAATGTATTGCAATAAGGCCTTCTTTCTTAAGCTTGGTGGTGGATGTTAAAATTTCAGGGGTTTTCCAAGCCAGTTGTTAGATACAACCATTAAAAAAATTACATAAACTCACAATTAAGTAGATGATATCAAAAACAAAGGTAACAAATACCCAGAACCTATCACCTCCTAATTATTTCTCTATTATTTATGCACTTCAGGTTTTTTAAGTCTATCATCTCTGCTATAAATTGTGTACAACCATGTATCTCTTCTCAACCTTTTATGGGTAGCTAGACATCAGCCACAGTGAGAATATTTACATCATGGAAAGTAGTGATACTATACATCAGGTTTTGGTTTTTGTTCTTTTGCTTTGCTTTCTGGGGAGTCAGTTGTGAGCCATTTGCCAGCATACCATACCATGTGGTACAAAGGTGTTCTTATATGTCTCCTTAATATTCCCTGGGAGACAATGAACGAACTACTTCCCTTTCTGTACTGTTTTGCCAACCCACCCCCTCACTTTGCTATACATTTTTGTCGGCCTGGAATACTTCACAATATAAACTAAAAGAAAAGAAAATATTTCGTTTCTAATTTTCTAAAAAGTTAAATATTCAGCAGTAAAAAGGATTGCAACAGTATATAACAGCATATCATAGATTAGCTGTAATTATATAATTATAGAATACGTACATTGTTTTGTAATATATGATTTTATATGTAATGTGGCCTATTTAACATTATCTTTCCAGCAGATATTGCTTTCCCTACCTGAAGCCCTTGATGGGGGACTGCCTACAGATAGAGCACTTGGTCTGATGCTTCACTTGTTCAGCAATGGTGACCCGATGCAGAACAGCCAGCCACACCATAGACTGGGGCTCCAAGTTGACCCACTCAAGGAACTGTGAAGCTTCAATGACTGGCTTCCCAGTGCTCTAGGGAAACAAAAAGCCCAATGACAATGAGTGGGGCCCAAAGTGCCTTGTCCCTAGAATGGCACCCCTCAGAGGGACAGGAGAACCAGCATGACCTGGTTTGGCCTATGGCCTTTTCTATGGAGATGTCCACCTACTGCCCTGTCCTAGTTGAGCTGGCACCCTCCCCAGTAGGACTTTGGACTTAAAAGCCCAGAGAACCCTCTGCTGTGTTGTTCTATCTGAAGAAACTCCTTTATATCTGAGTAGTTGAGATCAAAAGCCTCACTCATAGGTCTCCCTCCCTTTCTCCCACCCTCCCTCTCATCATCCATTCCCAGTTTCATACTCACAAAACGGAAGCAACTACGGACACTGGGCTCCACGTTGCTGCCCCCAAAGGCTGCCACTTCCCCCAGCTGACGGGGCACCTGAATAGCCTCATGAAGCAGGACACCGAGGTGGCGCTGGTCACACTGGCTGCCTGAGTTGGCTACTTGGCTGAAGAGGTCTGCTGGTCCCACCATAAGTCATGGCCAATCCCCATGAAGGAATGGCAAGAGAATGGTGTGAGGAGAAGGAGCAGAAAAGGAATATAGGGAAAGAGTAGATAGACTTAGCTAATGACTTTTGATACTAGAGTACCTAAAGGTCCATCCCAGACCTTCTAGAAGCCCATGAGTTCTAAAAATAGCAATCTCTGAGTTCAGAGAGAAAAAACAAGACAGACACAAAGAGACAGAGAACATCAGAAACAGAGAGAGAGAGAGAGAGAGAGAGAGAGAGAGAGATGAAGACAGAGAGGGCTGCATGTCAGACCAGTGCCAGACACAGATATGATGCTGCTGGGAAAACAGATTATCAAGAAGCAAGATGAAGGGGTGTAGGGTTTAGGTGTGCCTGAACATGAGTCCCCTTCTGTTCACATAGCTCATGTCATCTGACACTACAGTGAGCTCTCAACTCTCCATACAAATGGAAAAAAAACAAAAACAAAAAACAAACCACTGACACAGATAATCCACAAAGAGAAGATGATCACCTAATTGACTATGGTCTAATAGAACATAGTCTAATGTGTGCAATAGACTATGATACTTATATTCGAACATAGGCTTTATTTCCCCTGTGAGAACTACTCCTATCCCACCCCAATCTTAGCAAAGCTCCTTAAGAGGTTCTTGTCTGTCTCATATCACCTATGGCTTAGAAAATACTCAGAAGTGAAAGGCAGACGGCCTGGGTTTTAGTTCTGGGTCCATTACTGACTAGCTTTTAGGACTTTGAGTAAGTCATGAACCTCTCTATGCTGCAGTTTCCTCACTTGAAAATTGAGAAGAAATAATTACTGTCTATTCCTTCTCAAATGAATGTTGGGAGAAATAAATAATATCATTGCTATGAACATGTTTTGCTATGTCTCCTTGCCTGTAAAGTTTTCCCAGGCCACTGTCATCCCTCTTCTGTGATCTGATATAGCACAAATCCTTTGCCATTCAAATTATTCTAGTTAACACTTTCAAAAATTCTTTCGGTGTACTTCTGTCTCCTCCTCTGGACTGTCAACAACTTGAGGCAGGGACCATGTCTGACTGAACCTTGTACTCACCATTTAGCACAGTGGTTAACACACATTAAGCACCTGACAACTAACTCTGCTGCTGCAGAAAAGTACAAAATGCTGTACAGAAGATGGAGGATGGAGGGGAAAGCAAAGGTAGTATAAACCAGAAGGTTAAAAACTATAGAAATGCATACTATTCACCTCCCATACACTGGTGATTATTATGCCCTGCCCATGCCATCACATGGGACGTCTCCAGTAGAATGTGTGATGTGGCTTGAGATTCAGATTAGGAAAGGGCTGAGCCTGATAGGCCACAGGAAAATGGCACTAGGAAGTCAGGCCTTTGGATACCCCAGGAAGCCAGCTCAGAACTTAGTCAACTAATTACATTAGGTCAGAAGAAGCCAAACCCCTTGGAGTAACATTGGAAATAATAACAGATCTTAGACCCATCATAGCCTTTGGTTGTTGTGGTTTCTTTGCATTAGCCTGGACCACCATTAGAATGTAGCCCGAGTAGTGCTCTGCTGAGTCATAAGACCTACCTTCTGCTTATTTTCACCCTTCCTCCTCCCATCACACCTCTCCCTCCACCTTCCACTCAAGACTTTGAAGCTGTACTCACACTGCAATTTTTCCTTCACTTCGGTTCCACATAGGCATGCAATGCCAGTCTTAAAGGACAATGCCCGCATCTTTCCACTGCGACCACTAGGTTTAAGAGAAGAGACTGAGAACACGGTTATATGTAAAGAGTTAACATCTTGGCATTAATTTCCCTGACAAACTTTATCCCAGCAGGGTTCTGTGCCAACCATGCCCCAAGCTGAGCTCAAGTCCAAGTCCACTGTGGGAACGACCCCTTCTCACCATGCCCACTTCAAATGTCCCACTGGATTTCATCCTGGAGGCTTCCAGAGGATACAAGCCCTTACCTATCAAAAACATTGAGGAGCCAGTTGAGGCTCATGTCCACACAGAGTGGCACATTGACCAGGATGCCTCTTTCCTCCTCCAGCCGTTCATATAAGGCCGTCAGGCAGTGAATGACCTCCACCACATCCATCACATGCTCACTGGCCTGCAGATCATGCTCATTGAAGATCTCCAGGGCTGTGGTTAAAGTTACCAGATCCACTGGGAAGGAAAAGAGACAGGAGAGTGGCCAAAAGTAGGACTTCTAGGACTACATGAAGAGATAACGCCACCAGCATCACCAAATTTGACTCAATCTCCAAAACATTCATTTATAAGTATGATACAAAGATTGCCCTTCACCAAGATCCTCATCCCAAAGAGTGGGATGGCAGTGAAAGACCCCCTAAATTAACCCAAAATAAGTATATACCCATATGTTCTTTGGTATCAGTTTCAAGAAGATGGTAGGATGTGAGTAAATTCATCTCCTTTGTTGTATTAACTCCGGAGTCAAATCCCATTTTAAGTTTCTCTGTCTTTACACACATTTCAACAGCAAACAGGTTTGTCCATGAACCTTGTTCTGAGAACCTAGATACCAGTTATGAAGTCTCAGCTATGTCTGGGTAAATGTAACATGCCTCAGAAAGATTTTCTAATTACCCGGAATGCTGGAATCAGCCTAGCCAGACATGCCTGGGCCAGGAAAATTGAATGGATAGTGTTCCTAAGGAAGGCCAGAAAGGACACTTTATCTATAGCCACATTGTCCCCTAACCACTGGCACTTGCTTCAATAGTTCTGCGACATTCAATAACCAACCCCAAGATGGCAAAAGAACACAAGCCCCTGATGGCTCCAAACCTTGGGCTGGACTACTTCCTGCCACAAAACAGTTGCTTGATTATCCATGTTGGGCAGGGAAGCGAGGGAAAAGTAGGATAGTTATGTGTTAATTTAGAAACAAGTTTGGGGCTTGGAGACAATGGAATGCTCCTGGAAAGAGCAGGTGCCCACAACCAGCATACCCTGCCTTTGGTGGGTTCCACCAAGCCAATCAACAACCCTGGCCGAGGTGGGATCAAAATGGAAAACAGCCAGCAGATGAGGAAGAGGGGGAGTAGGGTGAAGGCTGTGGGGAAGTGATATGGGAAACTCACAACGCAGTGCCTTCTGGACTCTGCGTAGCTTCATGGCAGTGCGATAAGCTGAGAACTTAATGTTGTTCAGATCAGCTGCAAAGAATGGAAAGAGACACACACACAGATCAGGGAAATGCAAATTAAAACCACAAGATACCATATTACATCCGCTAAATTGGCAAAAAAAAAAAAAGTCTGACAATAGCAAGTATTAGAAAAGATATGGATAAATGAGGACCTGCTGGTGGAAGTATCAACTGATACAATCACCTCAGAAAACAACTTGGCAGTACCTAGTAAAACTGAACATTCGCATATCCCACAACACAGCCAGCTACATATCCTAGAGCAGTGATTTCCAAGCATTTGTTGACCAAGATGCACAGTAAGACATTCATTTTACATCACCGTCCAGCATGTACACCCCATGTGTGCATGTATAAATAACTGAATCACAATATTTCAGGAGACATTACCTTACCAGATTTGATAAAGTAAAAACATAACAAAATTAATATTGAATATGACTCTTGCAAAGGATCTGTTGCACTTTCAAATTTTCTAGTCTGTTCACAACACACTGACATGATGTTAGACTTGTAAACTGAAAAACATGCACATGTGCACAAGAAGACATGTACAAGAGCTTAGCAGCACTGTCCTTATTAGTTCCAAACTATATACAACCCAAAAGTCCATCAACAGTAAACTGGATGAAGAAACTGTGGTATATAAAATGGAACACTCTACAGCAGAGAAAATGAATGAGCTATAATCACATGCATCAGCATGGATAAAATTTGCAAACTTAATGGTGAATCTCTCTTAGTAGCCCAATCTAAGGCACACGGAAGTCACATTCATCATAGCCTAGACAGTGTCTTTCAAAGCAGGTCTGGTTCAAATCTATAAGAATAATTCCCTAATGTGATGGTAAAATGGTCTAGGAAGAATGTACTAGCTGAGGGGGGTGCAGAGGGGAAAGGAAGGAAGGCCGCTGGAGAAATGACAAGGTGCTCCTTTCTACCCTGACCTGCTTGATGAATGGAATTCCCTTCTGTTCTTACAGGAAAAAGGCAGCTATATAGATCTCCACCCTATACATGACCTCCAAATTCTTACCCAGGGTTTGGTATAACTCAGTCATCTTGGGATGGTCCCAGCAAGTGGTCTGAGCCTGGTGGCTACAAACAAAAGCATCAATTATACCAGGGTCCATACCACCCCCCCACCCTCCCCACACACACATGCACTTCACTCAGTGATAGTTTGGATGCAAGGAGCTGCAGGATCCAAGAGTGAACCATTAAGATCCCAAAGCACAAGCGTTCACCTTTCCCCAGGCAGAATTTTTTTTTAAATAGTTTATTGTCAAGCTGGTTTCCATATAACACCCAGTGCTCATCCCAACAAGTGCCCTCCTCCATGCCCATCACCCCCCTTCCCCTCTCCCCCACCCCCATCAGCCCTCAGTTTGTTCTTAGCATTCAAGAGTCCCTCATGGTTTGCCTCCCTCCCTCTCCCCAACTATCTTTCCCCTTCTCCTCCCCCATTGTCCTCCATTAAGTTCCTCCTAATCCACGTATATGTGCAAACATATGGTATCTGTCCTTCTCTGTCCCCAGGCAGAATCTTGAGCTCTTGAGATGAGTAGGAGGAAAAACTGGACTGAATGGAGGAATCCCAACAGATAAGGAGTAACAGCGACAGGGAGAATAAAGGATAGGCGAGGGAAAAGTGTGGGCAGGTGAATGACCTGCTTCTAATTCAGATGGTCACTCACTTGATGTAGTAGGGAACTTTATTGGGTGAAATTGCTCTTTCCCAGGGAACCTGCACAGAGGCTGGTGAAGGAGAAGAAAAAAAAGAAAGAAGTTGGCCACTAATGCTCTTTACGCTCCTGATGACTCCCTTTCTCTGTCCTCCCAAATAGGTGGTCAAGCCCCAAAGATGGATGCCTGACTCGAATTTCTAGCTCTTAATAGTCCCTGAAGGTGGGGCTCTCTTCCTTAGGCAGGCTGCCATTTCTCCCCATTCAACTGCAGTGCTCCTGTGGATATGAAGTTGACCCTACTTTTCTCATGAGGCTCAAAACCCTTCCCCCAGAAGGCCAAGCTTCTCAGTCCTGTGGGACAATGGGAAATGATACTGCCCATTTCTTTCTGGTGAGGAATTCTGGAAAAGGATGCCCTTCTCTGCTCCATGTCTTTATGTTCTAGATGTTTCTAAGTTACCTAGCCAACCTCCTCACTGCAGTTTTCCTGGATACAAGAGCCATCTGTAGTTATAACTGCATGCCAGTGATTATCTAATAGCAATAGTTCTAACTTCCATTGACATTTATTGAGTTCTTACTATGAGCCAGATACTCTGCCAAATGCTTTGTGTACATATCTAATTTTCTCATCTGTATATCCTCACCATCTCCACTGCTACCACCCTGACCTGGGTCACCAGAATCCCTCACCTAGATTATTACAATGCCACCCTTCTGCTCAAACCCCTCCATAGGTTCTCAGTTCCATTCAGAGTAAAATCCCAAGTTCCTACCATAGCCTACAAGGCCCTTAGTGCTCTGGCCTCCTGCTACCCTTCTGATCTCCTGCTTCCTCTTCTCCTAATTACTTCTACACTTGCCTCCTCCTGTTCCTCAGGCATGCCCCTGCCATAAGGTCCTGGAAGTTGCTGTTCCCTGTGCCTGGTGTGCTCTTCCCTCAATTATCCACATGGCTAATTCCCTTGTCTCCTTGAGGTTTCTGTTCCCTGAGAGCTCTTGGTGAAGCCTTTCCTGACTCCCCTAGTCAAAACTGCAATGCCTCCTGCATTAAATCCAGCACTACCTTTCCTTGCTTTCTTTTTTTTTCCCCACAGCACTTGTCATCAATTTACCTTATATAGATTTTACTTATTTGTTTACGTTCTGGCTTCCTTAACTAGTGTAGAAGCTCTACAAGTCTAAAGACATTTGTCTGTTTTGTTCTCACTGATTAGCTCCAGTGCTTGGAACACTACCTGGCCCACATCAGGTTCTCAATAAATATTGTTGAAAATTCAAGTTATTTACTACTCCCATAACCCTATGAGTTAGGTAATATTTTCTCTTCTTTTTACATATGGGAAAATTGATGCTCAGAAAGGTTAAGCTATTTTCTTCAGGCTTGGACAGCTATTAAGTCAAGGAGCAGTGGCTCAGAACCAGGTCTCTTTGACTTGAGACCCTGTCCTTTCAGCCACTATACTACACTGCTCTATCCTTACTGCTTCTTGGATGTCAAGATATCCTGGGCTCCTACCAGGCCTCCAAGGGACAAGAGTTGACTCTCTTGGAAGCTATCTGTGGTTCTGCTAAATGAAGTCTAGTTTGTCTCACGTACAGGAGAGGAAGTGCTGTGACCCAGGCCCAAAGTCCCGGTGGGCATCTTGGAGCTGCGTAAGCCTCTCGCCAACTGACACCTATGGAAAGAGGCAGAGTGAATTCATTCCAGATATTTAGTGTGGGATTACCAGGCACTTCCAGAAATCTTTGTGAAGTCCCTCACAGGCTAGCTCCTCTCTGGCTCTAAATCCTTCCATGATCGACTAACTCCTAGCCCTTCCACATCACTCCCAAGGGTCAGAGAAGAGCATCCTTAATTACAGGCCACAATCACTCCTTATCTGCCTCCGTCGGCCCTAAATGCCCACATTAGACAGACCCCTCTCAAATCTTCATTTCAACTACCTCCTATAGATTAGAGGTTGAGAAGACTGTTCCCTGTGGCCCCAAAAGCTCTACTATTCTTTTCCCAGGGAGGTCCCATCCCACTTTAATGTCCCTTTGCTTTCTTTTGGACAGAAGAAGATTCCCCCAAGCCTAGTTATATCAAAGTTCTTTCCTCTGGCTCACTCCAGGCTTCTCTTCTACCTGTAGCTGTTTCCACCGAATATTGATCTGCTCCAGGGCGCGGGAATTCTCCATTGACAAGTGTACATCAGAAATCGCAAGTTGATGGGCCAGATCATTCACCAATTTCACTCCATCTTTCATGGGGGAGAATTCTTCTTTGAACAGCTATAGAACCAGGACCCAAGTCCCCCAGCAAAGAGAGAGTAGGTAAGAGGAACCATTAGTCATTCACCTCAACTCCTCCTTCTTCACCCAAAGATTTTTGTTTCAATAGCACGATCCAGGTGCTTGCTATTAGGCCATTTGAATGAAGGTAAGTGTGGCCACTGTCCTTATCCTTTTCCTTTCCTAATCTCAGAAAACACCAGGGAAAGAGAAGACAGTAGAAGGACAGAGGAGGCTCCAGCTAAACCAGCCCCAAAATCCAGGACATAAACTGGGAAAGGTTCAGTTGCAATCTGGGCCAATAATGAAGCTTCAGTAGCAGGGACATGGACAGTGTCTGGGAGGAGTGAAAGGTTTCAGGGTAGACTTTAGCCAGATTAGGTGGCCTGTATACCTTAAGAGCCTGGATGTGCTCAGGGAGTGAATCAATGAAGAGATCCCCAATGGGCTCCCAAGTGGCTCGGACTCCCTCAGCCTGGGTCAGAGTATTGCTTAATTCCTCCATTGCCCCTTGGATCTCCAACAACTGCTCCAGAGTGCGCTCAATGTGGCGGTGCTGGTCCACACAGCGGGCTGTCAGCTTCTCCCATAGTTCACTGGCCACTGTTGCCTGCTTCCACACAAAGCGGCTAAGGTTCTGGATCCTCTGTCTGGGAGAAGTATCTGTAAGAGCAAGCAGGAAGGCAGGTCAGGCCAACCTGTCAGGGGCAGCCCTGGGAAAGACAGAGGCAAAGACAGACCATTGTAAAGTGTTCATGTGCACCTGTGTGTATATTTAGTTCTATGCAATTTATCACACATGTAGGTTCATGGATCCAACACCACAGTCAAGAGACGATGCTGTTATTTTCCACCTACCATGAGGATTTCTTCATATTCTTAAAAAAGGGCAAGGGAAACAGTGAGTAAAATATTTTAAGAGGCACAGTGAGGCAAATCATCCAGAATCCTATGCACATGACCCTGGAATGCCATTTTACATTACTGTCTGCTGCCCACTTCCATCCAAAGAAGGGAGGTATTTTATGCCCAGGAGAAGTTAGCATAACTTGCCCAGCTTTTCTATGTTGGCTCCTAAATTGTAGGCTTCTTCATCCTCCACTAGATCTCCCTTCAGAAGTAGATTCAGACCTCCAAAACTCCAGGTTAACTGAGCTGTCCTGCTCTCTTTTGAACTTGTACTATCTGAGGCCCATTGGATAGTAAATTGACTACTAGCCTCCTACAGGCTGAGGGGCTGGAAGTAAACTGAGAGTCAACAGCTTTAACAAAGGGCTCAGTTAACAAAGGATCCTTCCAGGCTATGCATACCAGTCTTGAAAGGTTGAGAACTCTTTCTGGAGACGAGGGCTTGCTGGGCTACCCTAAGAATCCCACCCTGCTCCCTTATATGAATCTGGATCTAGCGTGGCCTACTCTACTGAGGAAAGGGGCTAGAAGTCACTAGTTTCAGTAGCAAAGACCCACAATAAATTTTCTCCTGAAATGTCATTGCCTAACTTTTTAGATTTTAAAAAGATTTTTCATTTTCTCATTGATTAGAGCATCATTGCATGTCTCTCTATGTCAGAATAAAGGAGTATGTTTTTATTTTTATTTATTTATTATCTAAAGGAGTACTTAAATTTTTTTTAAAAAATCTTTATTTATTTTTGAGAGAGAGAGACAGAGCGTGAGCAAGGGAGGGGCAGAGAGAGAAGGAGACACAGAATCTGAAGCAGGCTCCAGGCCCTGAGCTAGCTGTCGGCACAGATCCCGATGTGGGTCTCGAACTCCCCAATGTGGGGCTCGAACTCACAGACGCGAGAATATGACCTGAGCCGAAGTCGGTCACTTAACCAACAGAGCCACCCAGGTACCCCCAAGGGGTACATTTTTAAAGGACATACTACTGGGGGCACCTGTGTGGCTCAGTCGATTAAGCATCCAACTTCGGCTCAGGTCAAGATCTCACCGGTCGTTGGTTCATGATCTCACCACTCATGGGTTCAAGCCCCGCATCGGGCTCTGTGCTGTCAGCTCAGAGCCTGGAGCCTGCTTCAGATTCTGTGTCTCCCTCTCCCTCTGCCCTTCCCTCACTTGCACTCTATCTCTCTCTCTCAAAAATGAACGTTAATTTTTTTAAAAGGACATACTACTACTTTTATTCAGAGTCAGCTCAATGCATTTGAGTCTTTTGTTTTTTTCTTTTTTATGTCTCACTAGAATGCCACACATGATGCTCCACAGAGCCACATACAGCTTTGGGCCGCACATTGGTCTTCCCTGCTCCAGGTTATATTCTCTTTGCTTTTTCTTTTTTCTTTTTCTTTGTTTTTCCTTTTGTTCTCTTTGCTTTTTTTTGCAGTGAGAATCTTGCTCCTTACCAACTTTGGGCTCCTAAGAGAAAAATCATCCTCCTAGATAACAGCTGAGAAACTTGAGTTTGGGGAAGGCAGGAAGGTGTTTAGCAATTCATAGCTCAAGAAGAAGTCAAAAGAGAGGAAGATCACCTACCTTTGCTCTCAGAATGAGGCTCCTCTAATTCTTCAAATGGGTGCTGGGACAGGAAGGCCTGAGCTGACTCCAGCACAGAGTAGATATAGGGGCCCCGAGACTTGACATCTTCCATAAAGGCCTATGAAGTTTAGCAACATGGTCAACAGGGAATTAAAGTCTTTCAACTGCTTCAAGTCCATTCTGCAATTGACAACCTTTCTTCTCTTTGGTGCAACTTGATCCTTTAGCATTATCATGCATCTTTGGGCACCCAGACATAAAGAGGTGCAGTCATCCCTATCAGCGAAATAATGACTCTGACACAGGGAGATCTATTTAGTATGAAATGGGTCTGTATATATCACAAAGTAGAAATAAATGTGGGGATTTGGTGTTGGAAATCTTGGCTGTGTGGAAGACCAGGAAATTCCCCCAATAAGGGGCTTTAGAGAAATAAAAAACAGATAGGTAGGATTTATATTATAATTTTAATTAACTTTTCTGTTGAAATAGAGAGAAGAGTACACAAATCAAAAGTGTACAGGTTGGTGAATTTCCATAAAGTGACTCCATGTCTGTGATCTCCAGCACTGAGATCAAGAAACAGAACTCCACTAGCATCCCAGCAGGTACACTCAAGGGCCTCTTATGGTCGCTATCTCATCCCTTCCCCTTAGGTAACCAGTATTTTGACTTTTAATACCACTGATTAGTCTTGCCCATTTTTGAACTTTGCATAAATGGTATTATGCAGTATGTACTCTTCTTGTACCTGGATTCTTTTCACTAAACATACTATTTTTAAGAATCATCCATGTTGTAGCATGTAGTTATAGTTTATTTTCTTGTTGTACTGTATTCCATTCTGTTTCCATTTTTAAAATTGATATATAATTGACATCGAAGATTGTATAAGTTTAAGATATAGAACATACTGATTTGATACATTCATATTGCAATGTGATTGCCATTGTAGCCTTAGCTAACACCTCTGCCATGTCACATAATTATTTCTCCTACTGTATTATGTATTTTTAATAAATATCTGTTGTTAATTTCTGAATATAAGAGGTAATATATATCATGGAAACCTTAGAAATTTCAGAAAAGTATGAAGAAGAAAATTAAAAAGAACTCTAATTTCATCAGCTAGAGTTAACCATTGTGGGCTTTGAGATATAGTTTATTCTTACGTTTTTGTGTGTACACATGTACACACATCTATACTGTTTTTTGTACAACTGAGATCCACCTGCTTTTGTTTCATATCTTATGTTTTTTTTTTTTCACTTAACATTCTATTATGTTCATTTTCCCATGTCCCCACTGAAAATCAGGGCAGGATTTTAAGGTAGGCCAATATTTGATGAAAGGGTCAGGGAGAGAAGGTTTGACTTACTCTGGTAGAGTGCTATCCAAAAACCAGTAAAACTGTATCCAGCCTCCTGTTACTTCAGATGTCTAGGCAGAGGTTAAGTACCCATCTGTCAGACACTGTAGAAAAACTCCCTTCCCAGCTGAGAGGCGACACACCACAATCTCCATAGTTCAAACCTACCGCGTGGGTCTCCTTCTCCTGTTGTACCAGGGCCACATCCCCTTGCAGAGGCAGCTGAGCTGACAATTCCTCATCCTTTTGGCTCAGCCAGTCAATAATCTCTTGGAGAGGGAGTTGAAGCTTTCCACTGTGGTCTGAGAAAGCCTCTAGGCGAGCGCTGCATAATGCATAAGACCAGTGATTTTCAACCTTCCTTTTAGGTGGCAAAACACTTTCTTTCCCAAACATTTATGTAGAACTTTAATATATCAAACAGATTAAAGAGGAGTTGCTCTGGTTGAAATGGGAGGAGGCCCAGAGCCCTCCATCTTACCCACCCATAGAGGTTCCCAATGCACCTTTGCATGGAGTACAGTACTAAAACCAATGAGTAGGTTCATGGATGTGGAGCTGTGTCAGTGTGGACATCAGCTAATTCAGTTGATTGCCCAGCATCAGGCTGGGAAGGGGAGGAAATTGAACAAGGGCATTAGGAGTGGCAGCTGTCTGGTTGCCCTCTTCCTCTTGAGGAACTCAAAACTATGTCAAAATACTCATCAACAGAGGCTTCTCAGAGCCTTCCCTCTGAGTAGCATAGGATACACTAAGTGGAAAGGGCAAGTGAGGTGACTGAACATGGACACTCACTTGTGTGAGGATGCATACAAATATATGCAGCCCAAGGGTCCCAAAGGATGACAGTTCCAGAGGCTAGAGATTTGACATATGGAAGGAGAAAAATGCGTACACTATAATCATCTCTGTAAGCCATCCCCCACAAATGAACCATGAGCTGAGGACCAAGTGGTAGGAAGCTGGAGGCCAGCTTAGGTACAGCCATCAGGCCCATTCCCCTTAGCTGACAATAATAACTATTCATTGCTTCCCTACTACCTGGGCCAAACCCTTACCTAAGTTACTACTTCCACTAATCCTCAAAGCAGCAACCTTATGAGGTAGGCACTACTATGGCCTAGGAAGGTTAAGTAATTTGCCTAAGGTCACACAGTTAAATCACTGGTAGAGCTGATTTGAACTCAGGTTTATTTGACTCCAGAGCCTGTACCCTTTCAACTTCTCTACACTGCCTCATTCCACCCAAAGCGTACCAAAAGCCAGAGGTTTGGGCTTTGATAATAGGGAGTGGAAAAATGTGAGGGTAGGTTATGCAGAGGGGTAGGGAGAAGAGGGACAACTCATATAGGAATTGCCTTCATGCTTTTACATATTTGCCTTCAGTTTGGAGAGTAATAGGTGGCCTGATAACCAATGGATGGGAGTAGAAGGCATAAAAGGATAGGAAGGAGAGCAGATAATATCTACTGAGACAGAGGACAGTTATGAGAGGAAGAAGAGGAGGGAGCACATATATCCTTCATTTATATGAGTGCTTTTAAGCTCAGAAAGCATTTTCATATCTTGTAAGAATCCTTACAACACTGTGAAGTAGTTAGGAGAGTTTCTTCACTCATTTTTTTCTCTTAAAAAAACAACCAAAAGAGAGTAAAATTCAGATAACTCAAACCACATATCCAAGGTGACACAACTACTTAAAAATGAAGCTCAGGGAGGCTTGGGGTGGCTGAATAGGTTAAGCATGGAACTCTTGATATGAGCTCAGGTCATAATCACACTTCATGAGATCGAGCCTCTTCTGGGGCTGTGTGCTGACAGTGTGTAGCCTGCTTGAGATTCCCCTCTCCCTCACACCCCAAAATAAATAAATAAATAAATAAATAAATAAATAAATAAATAAATATTTTTTTTAAAAACAGGCTCAAATCCAAGCCTCTTGACTTCTGACCCAGGGTTCTTTCCAAGGTCCTGAGAAGGAAGCAGAGAAGTGGATGATGAGGTGATGAGAGGATGAGAAGTGGATGATTAGGCTCACACAGGCTTAGAGGAGAATGACAAACTGAAGCAGCAAAAGGAGCCCAACATCACCCCAGCCATTTGCCTAAGGCTCCTGTTTCTAGGGGCCAGTCCTTACCGGAGGTTGTGAGACTTCTTTTTTATTTCATTCCAACACAGATTCATGGCTCGTGTTTCAAGGGGTCCAGCGGCACCAACAGACCCGTTGAGTAGCTTTGGGCTTAGGCAGGAAACCCCTGCACCATCCTGAGGAGGTGCAGGGGCGGTAACAGCAGCTCTAACCTACACAGAAACATAGACATTCTGCAATCTCCAGAGTATGCCACACCCTGTTCTGTACCAGTCCAAGGATGGGACAAATGTGAACAAGGAGAGAGAAGGGCTTGTCCCAGGGTGTGCTTGGGGGTGGATTGAGATAAAGGAAGACTCTGGCTCTGTTCATTGCAAAGTCCTCTCTTGGCATAGGTCAGTCACTTTTAACTGCAGACTTCTTTCATTATTACTATTTTTACGGTAAATTCTGCCAAGACTATTGCCCAGATGGGATTTGGAAGTATTTGCCTTAGATAAGAGCTACTCAGAATTGCCCAAACACTGGCAAACACAGCATTCAAGGTAAACTGTAGGCTCAACTTCAGTGTCCCACAGTTTCCCCAACCTTCTAGAAAAGAAAGCTGAGGAGCTGCCTCAAAAGATTCAGAGAGAGAGAGTAGATCGGCCAGAGAAAGCTATCAGTAATAGATGTCCTACTTCCCAAATGAATCCAGGCCTTTGTGTCCCCTCTCCCTCTTCCCCACCTGCATTTTCCACCAGTTGGAAAGCCTGGAAATAGTCCTAAGGAGCACTGTTCATCTTCCATGGGTTGAGAGAGAGTTAAAGCCACATTTTTAATCCTGATCTCCAAAGGACTATGACCAGAGTCAGCAGCTAAGAGGACCGGTCATAGAGCCTGCCAAAGGCTTCCCTTGAGCCCTCAATCTCAGAGCCTATCACTTCTTCACCCCGCAGGGAATTACAAGGGTTGGGGGAATGAGGGCTATGCTAAATAAGTTAGCCAGCTCTATCTAGCACAATGCTAGGACTGCCCAGTCAGGGACAGGAGGGGATTGAGGGAAGGGGAGTATGGATGAGAAAATCTCAGCTTGTGCTGCTCATTCCCAGACTGGGGAAACCCACCTGCCTGCCCACCTGTATACCTGCTTGCCTTTTGTAGAAATAACATAGTTCTGGTGGTGACTGAGACTTCTAGTGTCCCTTTCCCCGCAAACCATACTTCCTTCCCACACAAGACTCTCCCAACAATTTAGGAAACCAATCATCCAATTAAAACCACAGTGCCGGGAGCTGCACCAGCCTCTTTGCATGGCAGTCACAGCAAGGAAATGGCAGCGTTTGCACAGCTCCTGCCATGAGAAATGAAAACTGGTATCTCCTTCTGTTACTACTGGCTCATGTTGGAAATGAGGCTGCTGGTATTGACCAGGCCTCACAATATTCCATATCAGACCCATATTCTGAACACAGATACCTCATAAGGAAAAGCATATTCCTGCCTTTGCAAGAGAGATTTTAGATGAAAGCACTATGGATGATTGTCAAAAGGCTCTTCCTATGGGCCTTGCATACCCAAGACTTGCATAATAAAGGGGGTTAAGAACACAAGAGTTACAATTGAGCCTGGCCCTGAGACAAAGAGCCTATTTTGGGGTTAAGGGCAGAACATAGTTACTGCATATATCTTTGCTATTTGGTGAAGCATAGCAGTCCCTTCCTCAAGGCCTACATTCCACAAACACCCTCCCTTACACTGGCAGCTGGGATGAGGATAGATAAGAGTGGCTAAAACATAAACCCAGGTGCAAAGACTGACACATTTAGGCCCCCATGTTAATTTCCACAAACAAACCAATTCAGAAACATTCATCCTCTTGAAAGCCAGACAGAATAACTCCTAGCTTATCTATATACAATTTGACCTATATGTTATCCTGTTTTTCACTAAGAACATTCTGTTATTTCCTTGGTCGGAATAATTCTGCAATTGATATCATAAAAGGCTTCCCATTGTAAGAAATTCCTTTCTCTGACTTCATGTTGTTGCTGAACCTTTAAATAAAGACACCCAAACCGACAGGACAGAGATGCCTGCCTGGTGATCAGAAAGAATCTCGGGGCTCTCTCACTCTCTCTCTCTGACACCGTCCATCCTTCAGGGACCTCTGGACCTGTCGGAGCCGGCCTCCGACACCACAGCTCACAGCCACACACTGAAAGGAAAGTGAGGGAGCAACCAGGCTCAAGGGCAAAGTTCTGAACTCAGTCACCCTATGTTCCCATGAGCTGACCCTACCTGTGCTGCCTGGGGACTCCATTGCAGGATTAGGCAGTTCCATGATTATTGTTCAGCTCGCTTCCAGAATCAGTGTCTGGGGAGCCGCAGGCAGAGTCCTGACAGGCTGTAAGCAGGCTCCCTCAGGGAAGGCTGGCAGAGCTGAGCCAGGTCAGAAGGCGGGAGCTGTCACCCTGTTTGTTTACTGACCCCCCAGGAATCTAGAGGGGGCGGCTATGTCAGGGCTCAGCCGGTGAATCAGAGCTTTGTCCCTCGGGAATTCCAGCTCATTCCCAACTGGGCCTGCCACACCGGGGCCAGGAGGCCCTCCCAGGCTGGCAAGGATGGCAGGAGTGGAACTGGGCATTCCATGGTGTTGAGGAAAGGCATGCAGAGGGTAGTTTCTCTTGATTTATTTTCCTTTTCCATGGAAGACACAAAGGACTCTGCCTCTAGGACCACCCTTCCCCTGAGGTGGAGGAAAGGACCAGACCACTTTGGTGACAAAACTCTGGTAAGCTATTTCCCCCAAGGCCTGGCAGGAGGATGGGCTTGGAAATAAGCCTTGTCTTTAACTAAGTAAGTGTCCTAGAAGCAGTGAGGAATGTGTGTGGCACACCTGGGGACAGAGCCATGGGATGGCAGGATCAGGAAGTTGAAGAGCAATTCGTCTGAGCCCATTGTGAAAACAAGGGGGTTCTCTGCCCTACCTCTGGGAGGCAGAGAGGAGTCAAGGAAGAGTCATTATCTACCTCCTCATACCTCTTACTGCACTCTGAGGTTAGGAGGAAATAGATGGGTTTATGCGTATCCCCTTGAACCTCCGCAGGAATGGGAAAAGGCAAAATGGAACTCAGAAGCTCTGCACAGGGATCCAGTGCAAGGGAGGCTCCTGTACCCTGCTTGTACTGTCCTTGGCCACTGGCCTGAGGAGTAAGGCCCCTTCTGGAAGTGGCCACTCTTTCTCTCCAGCAGACTTGCCTGAGGGAAAGGTTAACATTCCCAACCTAGGCCCCACCCCTCGGTGCTGAGGAAAAACACTTCATTTTTACCAAAAAGGGTTCTGTTCCTATCCTCATTTATCTCCCACAGAGTCTTCTGTGCTTTCCACAGTTCCACATTGTTTCCATGCTGAGGCCCACCTACAGGAATAGTTGGAGCAGTTGCCTGACCCTTTCTGGGGATCTGGGGTGGAGCCATTCTGGGTGGATGGGGGATGGCAGGGGATGGCAGGCCAAGAGCAGGGAGTGGCTCTAGCTCTGGGTCACAGTTTTGCTTATGCCGGGATAATTGGGCTCAGGCCAGTCTCACAGAGTTCCCTAGACTGGGAGTTAGAAATGGCTCCTTGTAACTCAGCTACAACCCAGTTGTTCTGGTTCTGAGGGAAGCGCCCATGATGAAATAGACTCCACCCATATTAGGCTTTCATTCCCCTCAGACTTCTTAGTTTCCTAAACCCCACTTGGCTCCCTTACTATACTCCATCACCCTGTTCTCCCCTCCTAGTTCCCCCTTATACTCACAAGTACCCCTAGCACAGCCAGGCACACTATAGGCAAATAATGAATAACAAAATTTTTCTTTTCCTACCAATGGCCTTCTACTTCTGGCTTTTGTGGCCAAGATGTTTGTTTCTCACTCCACTCCCCAGAGGGCTCTCTCCTTATCTCTTGAAACTTAAAAAAAATTTTTTTAACACTTTTGTTTATTATCGAGAGACAGAGCATGAGCATGGGAGGGGAAAAGAGAGGGGGAGACACAGAATCTGAAGGAGGCTCCAGGTTCTGAGCTGTCAGCACAGAGCCCAGCATGGGGCTTGAACTCACAAACTGCGAGATCATGACCTGAGTGGAAGTCAGACACTTAACCGACTGAGCCACCCAGGCGCCCCTCTCTTGAAACTTTAAGACAAAGTCAGGGCCATAGGGAAGGAAGAGGAGAAAATGGACAGTGGCAGAGGAGAGGAGTGGGTCTCACCATTCTCAATCACAAAATGAAGCTGAAGGTCCCTCTGCCTAGGTGGTAAAGTTTGGAGCAGGTGGACAAATGTGCAGGGCAAGCCTTTTGGAAGGGCCCAGGCTTCTCAATCCCTTGACCCTATGTCAGTCCCACTCTGAGAAAGGGGTAGGTACACTGGGGAACTCTAAGTTGGCACTGGCCTCAGAATATGTTAGAGGCAGCAATTTCTCTCTGGTTAAATGTGGGAAGACAGCTCAGGAAGACCTGGATGTTATGCCTCTCTTGACTTTTGCCTCATTATTCTCCTCAAAAAGGACTCCCTAGTGCTGATGCATAGGGGCACATGTACCCCTGTCAGAGGCGCTGGCTCTGGCAGGTCCAGGGGTCCCTGAAGGATGGACGGTGTCGGCGAGAGAGAGAGTGAGAGAGCCCCGAGATTCTTTCTGATCACCAGGCAGGCATCTCTGTCCTGTTGGTTTTTGTGTCTTTATTTAAAGGTTCAGCAACAACATGAAGTCAGAGAAAGGAATTTCTTACAATGGGAGGCCTTTTGTGATATCAATTGCAGAATTATTTCGACCAAGGAAATAACAGAATGTTCTTAGTGAAAAACAGGATAACATATAGGTCAAATTGTATATAGATAAGCTAGGAGTATTTTGTTTGGCTCTCAAGAGGATGAATGTTTCTGAATTGGTTTGTTTGTGGAAACTATCATGGGGGCCCTGAATGGGTCGGTCTTTTGCCCCTGGGTTTATGTTTTAGCTACTCTTATCTATCCTCATCCCAGTTGCCAGTGTAAGTGAGTGTTTTTGTGGAATGTATGTCTTGAGGAAGGGACTGTTATGTTTCACCAATTAGCAAAGATATATGTAGTAACTATGTTTTGCTCTTAACCCCAAAATAGGCTCTTTGTCTCAGGGCCAGGCTCAACTGTAATTCTTGTGTTCTTAACCCCCCCAAGTCTCGGAACTGCAAGGCCTAAGGGAAGAGCTTTTTGACAATTGCCCATAGAGCTTTCATCTAAAATCTCTTTTGTAAAGGCAGGAATATGCTTTTCCTTATAAGGTATCTATGTTCAGAATATGGGTCTGATATGGAATATTGTGAGGCCTGGTCAATACCAGCAGGCTTATATCCAACATGAGCCAGTAGTAGCAGAAGGAGATACCAGTTTTCATTTCTCATGGCTGGAGCTGTGCAAACGCTACCATATCCTTGCTGTGACTGCCATCCAGAGAGGCTGGTTCAGCTCCCAGCATACCCCAATGTTCATAGCAGCACTCTCAACAATAGCCAAAACATGGAAAGAGCCTAAGTGTCCATCAATGGACAAATGGATCAAAAGATGTTGTTTATCTATACAATGGAATACTACATGGCAATGAGAAAGAATGAAATCTGGCCATGTGTAGCAATATGGATGGAACTTGAGGGTGTTATGCTGAGCGAAATAAATCAGGCAGAGAAGGACAGCTACAATATGTTTGCATGTATAGGTGGATTGGGAAGAACTTAACAGAGGACCATGGGGGAGGAGACGGGGAAAAATAGTGGGGCAGAGGAAGGGAGGCAAACCATGAGAGACTCTTGAATGCTGAGAACAAACTGAGGACTGATGGGTGTGGGGGGGAGGAGGGGTGATGGGCATGGAGGAGGGCACTTGTGGGGATGAGCACTGGGTGTTATATGGAAACTAACTTGACAATGAACTATTTTAAAAAAAGGACTCCCCAGCACCCACATTCTCCATCCCTGTGGCCGTTAACCCTCCCTTCCTCCTCCCTGTATATTTAGCTGCTGTCTGCACCCCCAGCAGTAATTCAGTACCACAGCCTGTCTGTGAGATACTAGGAGACAGTACTTTTTCACACCCTCATGGTCTCTGGACTCCAAAGCATTGTAGGACAAGCCAAAATACGTTTATGCTTCCCTCCTGTTCAGTCAACTTTCCCATGAACCTCCCTCATTGCTAGGAAAGGGTGCTACCCTCTTGGGATTACTGCCTGTCATACATCCTCTGCCCACCTACCAACATACATAGGCAGGAACACACTTTACCACCATTCCACTCCTAAGGGAGGACAGAGAAAGGAGAGACAGCTATGAAGCTCCAGGCTTTCTGCCAGGAGCTGTAAGGCTAAAGACTTGAGAGGAAGAGCCAATGGAAAGAGAGAGAATATTCTGCAAGTGCAGAACATGAAGTATGCCATAAAGAAGTTAAAACAAAGGAAGATCATACTTTGTCCTAGGTGACACGCTGAAGGGTCACACTCTTCCGAGACTTCTTGGGAGGTTAACATGGACCCCTCAGTCATTCTTGGCTCTTTTGCTTATCCAGCCCAACACATTTCCTTGCCCCATGCCCCCTATAAAAGGCTTCAAGAGGGCGCATGGGTAACTCAGATTGAGCATTTGACTCTTTATTTTGGCTCAGACCATGATCTCACAGTTCGTGGGTTCAAGCTCCACGTTTGGCTCAGCAATGACACTGAGGAGCCTGCTTGGGATTTTCTTTCGTTCCTTCTCTCTCTCTGCCCCTCCCCCACCCCATGTGCTCTCTCTTTCTCAAAATAAATAAACTTTATTTTTTTCAAAAAACCTTCACGAGTAATAAGGGATGAGTCATAAGGAGGTTACATGATCTCCAAACAGATTCATGTATATAGAGAGTGCCCCAGAGCCTTAGGAAGCATGGACACCCACAAGAACACACACAGATCCTGTGTCTACCCTTTCTCCACAGGACTTTCTTTTTCTATCAGCCTCTTACCTGAGGCTGGGGGCAGGTGCTTCGGAGGCTGCTGCTGTGATGGAACTGGTCACCTGCCCGCCATTCATGACATCGAGGGAGGGTGTAAGGGCATCCCTGCATGACCATAGGTTGCATCAGAACCAAGGCTCATGGGGGAGAGAAAATGGGCAGTGCACCAACTGTTGACCATAAGCACCTGGAAAAGTAACAAGGACAGATTTAGAGTTGAGACCTAGAAAAGGTATAAGAACCCAACATTTACCCAAAGGTGCCTTGACCAGTTATGTAAATAAGCATTCAAAGCTTACTGGTCTACCCAATAGTTTTTCCCAGGCCACCATGTACCATAAGAGGCTTTATTTAATTATTGACCAAAGAAGTACTTATTGTTTATCTATTGTGCTTTGTGCTAGACACACAAAGATGATTTTCTGAGATCTCACAGCCTGGGAAAGAGGATCAGGTAGGTCGGGGGTGGGAGGAGGCAGTCATATAAGCTCATATAAGCTCATAATTATAATAAAATGCTTATGTGGCATGTGTTGTAATCTAGATTTGACCAGAAGGCTGGAGAAACACAGACTGGGGGACAAATAACTCTGAGAATGTGCAAAGATTTCAGAGAGACTGCATTTGAGATGAGTCTCAAAAGATAAGTAGATGTTTGCCTATGCAGAGAAGGGGAGAAAGAGAAAAGGGTCTTCCCAGCAGAGAAACACACCTCTGTAAAGATGGGTGTCACAAAAAAGCACAGTATGTTCAGAGAACAGTAAGTTACATTTGGCTAGAGTTTAGGAGGCACAGAGATGAAAAAGACATGGTGCCTACCCCTGAGGTGTTCACATACAGAAAGAACAGACATAGAAAAAAAAATCAAGCCATAAAGTGTTACTTGCATTAATATTAGAAGTATTTATGGGATGGAATAAAGGGATAGGTGAGGTGAGTTCTACCTGGTCAAGTCAGGAAAAGTCTCCCTAGAGGAAATATACTTGAGGTGATCCATGAGGGAGAAATCAGAGCGTCATTAGGCAGGGGAGATAAAACAAAATAATAATTCCAAAAAGCACAAAATGAAATGTATGGTGTGACCAGAGTACAAGGTAGGTGCCTTGCGGGGAGCAGTATACGAGGCTGACAAATGAGGTTGTGGCCAGATTGGGTCATGCCTTGAATGACAAGCAGAGAATTCTAGGCTTTATCTTGTAGACAATAGGGAGGCATGGAAGATTTTAAGCAGGGAGTGACTTGACCAGATTTGCATTTTAGAAAGAGTCCTCTGGCTGCCTTGTGGAATGATTCTCCCAGGGGAAGAATCCATTGAAAAGCTGTTATAATAGGCAAGCATTTCAGGGAAGATGGAGCAGAGGGCATGGATTGCGAGATACACTGAAGAGGTAAAATATATTGGGCTCGGTGATCAATTGGATGTGAAGGGTGAACAATGTGAAGGAGTGAAAAGTTTCTAATTTGGGAGCTGGGTGGATAATATTGCCAACAGCAAGAGAGGGAAGACTGGAGGAAGAGCAAATTTGGTATGGTAGGGGGTGAAGGCAGTGTTCCATAATAAGCTATGCCTGAGACATATTCAGCTTTAGATGTTAGGAGCTAAGCTGAGAACAGGAAGATATGAGTGAAAAAGTTAGATGTACAAATCAATTGACAATTTTGTACACAATGTACACACGTATGATGAGAATGGGTAACAAAGACAATGCTTGGAAATGCTAAAAGCCCTATATTTTAGTGGTGGGTAAAGACATGAAAACCCAGATCAAAAGGGAATGGAGTAAGCATCTTTGATTCCTGATGTTGATGATTAAATAGCCACCATTTTTAGTTTCTATTTCAGTGGTTCTCAACATTTTAGGTTTAAGGGCCCCTTCTTAAGAAAGCTTAAAAAAAGAATCTCACTTCACCCACTCATACCTACAACAGTAGCTATACTTTTAGCACTTATAGAGTGAGAAAAAGCACTTATACATTTAAAGATCTGTGGACTTCTTGCATTGAATTTCCTTCCCTCCTCCACAGGAGCCCATGGTCCAAGATTGGGGACTGTTACAGATCACAAAGATGCAAGAATTTATGGTCAAAAGGACACTTTATTGTAGTCAAAGTCTCTAGAGATTACACAGCTACATAGCTCCTCATGCCCAAAGAGATTCTCCAAAGAATGGTTGAAAAGATGGCTCCCCTCTCATCTGACACCAGTAGAAAACAGATAAAACAACAGATAAAAAACAACGTATTACTATAGACGTGTTAAAAGCATGAAGGCTACAAAAGGCTTGCTCTCAGATCTCTTTTTGTATCAACATTTCTATTTTTGCCGATTACACAAATAATGCATATTCTTTACAGAAAAACTGGAAAATACAAAAAAATCATAAGGATGAAAATTAAAATAACCTGTAATACCACCACCCAGAAATAACTATTACTAATAGGTGTGAAGCCTTATAGTAGTTATTCTATGAAAAAATATATCCATACATATCCAATTGTCATCATATGATATATACCATTTTGAATTGTGCTTTTTTCATTTATCATTTATATCATGATCATTAATTTTTTTTAATTTATTTTTGAGAGAGAGAGAGAGAGCAAGCACAAGTGGGGGAGGGGCAGAGACAGAGGGAGACACAGAATCTGAAGCAGGCTCCAGGCTCCGAGGTGTCAGCACAGAGCCCGACACAGGGCTCAAACCCACGAACCATGAGATCATGACCTAAGCTGAAGCTGGACGCTTGACCAACTGAGTCACCCAGGTGCCCCTATATCATGATCATTTTAGAATGTCACTAACTATTCCTCTAAAACATGATTTCTAATGGCTGCAAAGGTGATAGAGCACTATGGTTGAGGCCATGGGCTTTGGCATCATACAGACCTAGGGTCAGATCCACAGTATTTAACTTAATAGCAGTGTGGCCTGGGATGAGGTAACCTCTCTCTGAGCTTCTGTGTTCTCATCTGCAAAATGGAGATGACAATGATATTGCCTTCATAGAGGTATTCTAATTATTAAAATTAATAATGTATTTAAATAACTTAGTACAGTCCCTGGCAATAGTATACTGCTCAATGAATGTTAGTTGTAATCTTTGTTGTATACTATTCAATTGAATTGCTATACCATAATTTTAACAATTAGACATAAGTCACACTGCAACGAACAGCTTTGTGCATATTTGTGATTCTTTCCTTAGGATATTTTCCTAGAAGGGAAAATTCCTGTACTAAAGGGTATGAACCAATTTCAGGTTTGTGATGCATACTTACTTCTAAATTGCCCTAGAAAAAGTAGATCACTTTATACTAACACCAATGATGGATGAGAGTGCCAGTTTCCCAGCACACTTACCAACAGTGAGTATTCTTATTTTAAAATATCTTTGCCAATTTTTAAAGAGAAGATGGCATCTTGAGGAGTATTCCATATTTCCTTAATTACTAAAGATGCTTAACTTTTCCCCTATAGTTTTAGTGGCCAGTTGTATTTCTTCTTTTATGAACTATCTCTTTGTCTCTTTTGAGGTTCACCTCTCTACAGATTAACTTCCTTCCTTCTTATTCCTCTTCTGATTTGATATCAGGTTGATGCTTCACCTGATATCAGGTTGATGCTTCACCTGATATCGGGTTGATGCTTCACAAAGCAAACCTAAAACAACCACAGGAGTCAGAGAATTCAAATCTTCTAATCCCAATGCAGACAGAGAAGGAATAAATTTCTTCTAGCCCTACCTTGACTATCCTCTGATGTTTTCAGACTTTGCCACTTGTGACCTCAAGTCATTTCGCCTCTCTAGACTTGGTTTGCTAACCTGTAAAACATTAAAGTTTAAGAGTTGTCAAACATCGGGGTGCCTGGGTGGCTCAGTCAGTTGAGCGTCTGACTCTTGGTTTCAGCTCAGGTCATAATCTCATGGTTTGTGGGTTTGAGTATCGTGTCATCAGGCTTTACACTGATGGTATGGACCTTGCTTGGGATTCTCTCTCTCTGCCCCCTCCCCTGCTTATGATCTCTCTCTCTCTCAAATTGAATAAATTTTAAAAATTAAAAAGAGTTGTCAAACATCAAAATGCTAGCATTCTCTTAAAAAAAAGAAAATGCTAGCACTCCCTGTTCTTGTATAACATACTTTTGTAGCCTGCTCTTGTCTTTCTTGATCCTCAATGCCACCTGGTAAGGATGGTTCAGCCAGGGTTAAGATCCTATTCGAGAGATGAAGATGCTGAGATACAAGTGAATCTGGGGCTCCTGACTCCTGACGAGTGCTCTTTGTGCTGCACAAAGATTCTTATTTCTGCCTATTTATCTTCATGATGTCCCCACATTACCACCTGTACATACTGATTCTCTTCCTATTCTTCCTTTTAATTTGCAGAGGCTGTGAGGAATTGGAGAGGAATCTTAGTCCCCAGATGGCCAAGTGTAGGAAATAAGACACATTTTTAAAAAGTATAACTGAAGGGAAAAAATGACTCATACCTTATGTGGGACACAGAGATCATGTCATGAGAGGTCACAGAGAAGGAAGTATTCACCTTAAGTTGGAGGGATTTAGGATGTATAGGAAAGAGATGCTTTTGAGCTAAGGTAATTTGTACACATGGAGTAGTGTGAAGGATGTTTTGGGGGTGGAACTGATGCTTCTGTGATCTCCCTTAGGGATCCTACTAGATGCCAAACTGTGGCTTTTTGCTACAAGGAATAGCTTTCTTGGTTTTCAAAGCCACACATAGGTCCTTCCAGTAAGATTCAGAGGGGAGACACTGTTTCTCTTGGGCAGAGATTAAAGCTTTAAAAACATGTGAGAAATACCAGGATTCCAACATGAAAGCAAAATTATTGGCTCATGGAGGATAAGGTACATGCCTGATATTTATTTCTATCCCACATATTTTTTAAGACAGTGCCACGTACAGAGCACGCATTCAGTGAATGCTTCCTGACTTGATTTATGGAATTAAACTCCAATTAGGTAAGTATATAGGTTCTCAACTTTGTAGGTACAAATCCCAGGAGGCATGAAGAAAAATGCTTTGAATACACATATTTATTTGTATTTGTGTTAAATGATGTATACAGAATGCTAGCAGTTGAAGCAATCCTTGAAATGGAA